GTCGTTGTCTCAGTGGAAGAAGCCACCGATGGTGCTGCGGCGTACCGCCTTGCCGTCGAGCAGGAGGTCGTCGACGCTGCCAACGACTGCGCCCGCGCAGGCAAATGCGTCGTCGTAACCATCAACAAATGTGACCGACTACCGGAGGGTAGACTTCCCCCGCAGCTCATCGAGACAGTCAGCCAGCTTTTCGAAGCGGTCCCGGACCTGCGCCAGCGCATCTTCGGCATCTCCTGTCTAGATGCCACAAACGGCCTGAACCTGACAAGCCCCGGTCCTAGCCAATCCTCTGATCCAGGCTACATCCAGCAATTCCTACAAGGTCTGATGACTACATTCGAGGAAATTGCCTCCCCGACAGGGATCGACGGAGATGAGAACGGACAATACGATCATGCATACTGGGAAGATTCACTGGGCGTGACGCATCGCCAAAGTTCCAATTTACAACGCTGTCTCGAACACCTGGATGATTTCCTGACCCAAACTCAACCGCAATCCCAGACGCCTATATCTTTATCATCTCGCCAAATCGCCCATGAATACCCAGAAACAGACATGGACATGGACATTGATATCGTCACCGCCGCTGAACATCTGCGCTCTGCCGCTGACACCATGGCGAAGATCACGGGCCGTGGGGAAAGCGGAGACGTGGAAGATGTTCTGGGCGTTGTCTTTGAAAAGTAAGTTATATGCAGTATAGTGTAGTAGTGTGTGTGTTGTTGTCGTTCTTGTCACTGACTGAATGGATTAGGTTCTGTGTGGGCAAGTGAGAGAGGTATGTATGATATCGGAAATCATAAACGCATATTCTCTCCCATCCGGATGATGTCCTCTCTGACGCGTCGTATGCTACAATGCCCCTGCGACGGGTTGCTGCTCATTGTACCCGCCACGGCCCTGCAGTAGCAGCGGGTCAGAAGAAAGAAGCGACAGCGACAGAGATAGAGAACGAGAGGATGAAGTCGGCTGCGCGGGCTTTGGCGCAGTAGTCTCGGGGGTGTTGTAACCTCCTCGGCCCATGGTGATGATCTTGTCTGATCAGAGGTGTATAATAGATGGTGGTGATAATGTATATGATGCAAAGAGCGGCGTATGTATAGTATAGTATAGATTCCGCACGGATTGAAGAGAGCAATCACAATCCTAAAGTGTTGTTGTATATCAGTTGACTGATCAAGAAAACGTAGTAGCGAGCGATAGTAAATGTATTATAGTATATTAAGCAAGAAGTAGTAGTTAAGAATCTCAAGCTTCATTCATCAGGACACAAGAACCCTCTATATATACACCTCCAAGTACTACCTTTTGATCTAAGCCCCAGCAACATCCATCAAGAACGGCATACTACCACCACCACCACCACCACCACCACCAAAACGAAGAATCCAAAGTCCCTCGAGTAATACTACAACAACATATCAGGCCCGCATCATCCCCATAATTGATGATAGCTGACTCCTCAAAATCCCCAATGCTACCGTCGTAACCAAACCAACAAGATAACTACTAACAAAACGTGCTAAATATAATCGAAGCCTCAGGACCAATACCCCCCTCCCCTATGAGAAAGATTCCCAAATGCTTGATAAGACGGGAACCCGAGCCTCGATTCGGCTTGGTATTGTTTCTCTTTGCTTTTTTTTCTCTCTCTGTTTTTATGCTTGAATGCATGACTCAGGTTATATTATGACCCTATTGGCTTATTTACTACTAGCGTTGGGTTGGGTTTTTTTTGGTCTTGCCTGGTTTAGTTGTTGGGTTTCATCCTATCATCTGGTATGGATATATCTATCTTGTTCCGGGATGGTTTGTGGATAAGGTCAGGTCAGGTCAGCTGATTATACTTCGTCACGGCATCATACGCACGGCCTGAAGTTTTAAGGTGGCAGTTAAGAGAAGGAGGGATTCACGTCAGCATATCTGTTGCGCCAATGAGGCTGTTCCGTCCCTGAGAGTCATTCTACACAGTATTTAGGTGTTGGTGCTCTCGCAGTGGCTGATTGGATGCGGAAAGGTATGAACCATCGTCATCCTCAGCCACGTTTCATCCTGGCGGTTGACTAGAGCAATCAGCCTGAGGCTTGTGGAAGAAAATAAACGAGTCTGAGACATGTCTTTCTTTTTGACTTTGATGGGTCAAGGCTTGCTCCCGGCCACATGGCGATGAGATGCCATGCGATGCCACATGCTTATATTGCTGCTATTTTTGGGTCAAGTGCGGGAGTGACTCAATCTGATCCATAGAAAGGAAGCTCTCGTATAGAGGTGGCCGTAAGGCGGATCTCTCTCTCCCTCCCTTTCTCCGATATGTGATCTAGCTACATTTTGGTATTATACGATGTGAATCTAGGCGGCAAGCTCCGCCACATCTTCCTCCGGTGCAGTGTATACTGATGATATAGAAGACTCCGTGTCCCATTCTCTTTCTTTGTTCTGAGCCTCCCCATCTGCATGACTCAGAGGTACTGTCCAGGATGCGCGCGCAGGGTTCAGCCCATGCACATCTGTCAAAGAGACAGGAGAGTCTGTGGCGCGGACGCCAGCCCTCTCGCCTGCATGCGAAAACACACTTTCCAGGAACGGGCTGCTTGGACTGAGATTTCCTCTGGGCACTTCAAAGTAATGTCGCGCCTGAGGCATCGCAATCTGTTCATTGGTTGGGGCAAAGGCCCGCTCATTGGCCTCTAGAATTTGCGGGACGTCGCGAAATTCAGATTCTATGCGTTGATAAACGCTACTTCCTCGCCGCATATGTTCTGGCGTTTGAGACCGGCTTGCCGGGAGGCCCTGTTCTAAGGTTCCTGGCAGCTCCTGAGGACTTGTTTCTGCCGTTGGAGACGACTGGATATGATGTACGGCGACATCGGACATAACTCCAGAAGGTACCGGGTGCTGCTGGTTGGGCTTTAGCGGAGAGGACCAGACCGGGGAGCCTGGCTGTGACGGGTGCTGCATCTGATATAATAAGCTTTGTACTTCCCGCTTCCTTTCAATAGAAATATCCGCAGACGGCGCAAATCCGATTCGTTCTGCTGTGAGGCCCAGATCCGCGTCGTCTTTGGCAACCATGGGACTACAGGACATGAGCAGGCGGAGCGCACTTGGATGGCCATAGTAAGCGGCATAGCGGTAGGGCTGCCACCCTCGTTCGTCCCGCTTGATAGCGGACGCACCTCGCTGGAGAAGAAGCGTGATAACGGGTACATGCCCTCCCATGGCGGCCAGACACAAGGGCGAATCCTCTTCCGATCGGACGCCATAAGGCAGGCATACAGGTGACCCGCGATCAAGCAGGTTCTGGACAGCAGCTGCATGTCCGTACCGAGATGCCACGCAGAGCGCTCGATCCCCCGCGGTGTCGCGGGCATCCAGAGAAGCTCCTTTGTCACAGAGTAGATTAATAAGGGCCATCGATCCACGGACAGCTGCAAGGTGGACCGGTCGACGTTGATCCGAGTCAGCTTGGGCCTCGATGTTGGCGCCCGAGATAAGCAAGAGCTTCGTAACCTCACAATTATCAGCCATGCACGCATAGTGAAGCGGCGTGAGACCCGCGAGGCAGCGATTTTCCAGTGGCATACTCTTCCGAAGAAGCAGCTCCACCACTGCGAATTGTGACTTCATTGCAGCCAGATGTAGGGCCGTTCGTCCCGCAACGTTAGTTTTGGCCAACAATCCTTTCTTCTGGCTGAGCAGGTCAACGATCTCGGTGTGCCCGTTATAGGCGGCCCAGTGCAACGCCGTCATAGCAGCATCGTCTACGGATCGAGTCGACGCCTTCTTTTTGAGCAGAAGCTGCGTTGCCAGCAGCTGACCCAGAGCAGCTGCACATATGAGGGGCGTCCTGCGGTCACTCCCAGCTGCGTTAACATTCGCCTTCTCATTGAGCAGCAGCTCTATAATATCCAGATGCCCCCCTTCACAGGCATAGTGTAGAGGTGCCATCATCGTCCCGTCCTTGGCTTCCAAATCGGCGCCCTTTTGTATCAGAATCCTGGCTATTACTATATCGCCCAGTTTGGCGGCTAGATGTAGCGGGGTTGCTTGATCATTAGCTCGCGCATTGACTTTGGCGTGACAAGCAAGCAAGAGGTTTGTAGCTTCAGCTTGGCCATGATATGCTGCTACCCAGAGAGCAGTCTGGCCGTTGGCATTCCGTGCTTCAATATCCAAGCACTCAGGAAGAAGCAGTTCTAGCACCCTGCAATGACCGCGCGACGCCGCCAAGTGCAACGCGGTGGAACCCGACTTGTCGGTAGCATCCACTCTAGCGTTTCTTTGCAGCAGTAGATCCAGCACGTCTTCATTCCCGCAATGAGATGCTACTAAGAGGGCGGTCCTGCGGGACGAGATATGACGGGCTTCAATGTCATGGCCGCTTTCCAGGAGCCTTTCGACATCGGATCGACTGCCCGACTGGGCTGACTTGATGATTGGCGGTGCAGACGCTCCATCCGGCGATGTCAAATTAATGCTAGTATTCAGATCTCTTTCGTACAGCCGACGCTCCGACGGACTTCGCCCAGGAACCCGTACGGAAGCTTGCGTTGCTGACCAGCTTGGACGCCGGAGTTGTCGAATAATGGTCCGAATCTTTTCACGCCGTGACCCTGAGGAGCGACTACCCCAGGAAGCGCCACTCGCATCCGACTGCCATCTGCGGACTTGAGTCGGACTCTGCGGTAAAGGAGTCGGTGCGAATGACACGCTTTTACTGTGGCCATGGCTAGAGTCGAACGACGCAGATGGATGTATTGGAAGAGCTCCATTTGTTCCGGGTGGGCTTGCACTGCTCACAGTACCACTGCCATACCCTTCATCCATAGGTGGGCTGTAATTGCTGCGGTTGACCGCAGCTTGCGTCGGAGGATGGGTCCGTGATTGACCGATTGCGCGTCTATAGGGCAGGGAAGTCACCACCGCCCTATCGAAATCAAAAACCGTGTCCCCCACGGAGGATGAGCGACGAGTCAGGCTTGGACTCTCCGCCCGTGAGGGTACGTAGCTGTAAGCGGACCGTAGTGTTGCTGTATCGCTGGCGACTTTGGCAATTATCTGGCGATTTTCTGCTCTCCGTAACAGTTCGACTTGTTCGGTTGATGTCCGACTAATGCACAATATTTAGCATGCAGTGAATTATTGCTGCTTCGGTACCTTTCAAGACTCACCAGTGGCAGGCTTGAAGCAGGAGCTGCAGTGCCTGAACCTGCGCACGCAGTCGTTCCTGATGAGCCTTCATACTGTCCTCGCTCCAGACGACCTTTACCCGCGTACGAAATCCGACCCCGGTGTCACTTAGCATTGCACCCCTTGTCAGAGCTGAAACCTCGTCCGAAAGAACCTCCATAACGGCACGACAGCCGTCCAATGCGACTTCAAGTCCCTCGACATACTCGTCCGGTTCGGTTGAGTCACGAACATTATAGCTAGCCCACTCATGTAGCTGCGTAATGGCCGATCGGATGGTCGTCAGCTCGCCGATAAGCGATCGGATGGTGAGGTCGGCATCCTTGAATTTGCCAGACAGATGGACTAGTGCCCCCACGGTGTCTTTGACGTACTGAGCGATCTGAAACGCACCGGAAAGCAGACCGATTGCGGTGACAGGATCCATCGGCAGTGTAGTAGCCACAGCTCATTGGGGGAACATCAGCAGCGTAGCGGGGCTGAGCATACAATCATATACAAATCCAAAGCCTTGGGTGCTCAGATCGTACATAAGTTTGGGAGGAAGGACTGTAGAAAGTCCATCGATAATGAAGGAGGAGAGCAGAATGAAAATAAGAAAACGACGTCAGCTGAAGGAAGGGAGCCAGCAAAGGATTGACAGCTGAAGGCATCTGAGCTGGAGCGAATCATGGCAGGTTCAGTGAGCCGTGCAACTGCAGGCCACCACGCCAGTGCCCGTGTTCTAAACCTTCTAAGGCGATCGTCCAAAAACACCGCCCCCAAATCTCGTTCGATTCCCCGCAGCAAACAAGGCAATCCTTGTTCCCCTGGACCTGACATAGCCACATCCATGTGGGAATGGCGGATGCAGAGAGATAGGGAAGGAAGTGGATGAAGTGGATGGAAGATGGATGCAAAAGAGGGTGCAGATGGGACCAAGCAGGACAGAACATGACCACCCATCCTGGTGCACAACAGCACGTTCTCTTTAGGCACCTTGCAAGAACTGGAAAGAAGAAATAAAATTAGAAATAGAAATACATTGTCATGAATTGGAGTACATCTAATAAAGAAAATCTCTTTTTTTTCTATACATGCAGAGTCATCTTTTGTCTGGTTTTCTCCATGCGTATCGTCTCTGTCCAAGAAACATCCACGCCGCAACCCCATAACGAAGACTGGAAGGCTTGGGTATCATAAGAATCACTTTGTCGACAGTCATGCGCGTTTCATCTCTGCTGAACCACTTGCTCTACGCCTCAATGGCGTTCTTAACCCATTTCTCCAGACCACCCTTCGCAATGATCTCCTGCACGTTCGGCGGCAGTTCGCCCACCTTGTGAGTCCACTTAGGTCCATTCTGGCCTTCCTGGATCTCAATCTGACTGCGCCGAACATCCCAGGTCAGAGTCCAGCCGGTCCGGCGGGTAAGCTGCTTGTCGCCGAACTCCTCGCGCAGACGGCTAACCAAGCGAGGAACCTCAAGACCCATGAGAGCATTGTTGATGCTGTTACGGGAGAAGATGTTGCCAAAGCTACCCGACACAACAAGGGGAATCTGCTTCGCCAGGAGAGCAGTGGCCGCCTGTTCACGAGAGCTACCACAACCGAAGTTGTATCCGACAACCAGGATGTCACCCTCCTTGGCAATAGAGTGGAACTCCTTATCATAGTTGGACATGCATACTTCTGCCATCTTCTCCACGGGAACATTGTCCTGGTAGGTCCAGTAACCGGGATAGATGGCGTCCGTGTTCAAGTTGTCAGCGTCACAGAACACAATTTCGCCAGAGACACGTTCGGGGAATCCAGGATACACCTCAGTCAGGCCACCCTCTTCCTCAACCTTCTCTTCGGGAGCGAAGCGCTTCTCCCCGTCGGCGACAAGGTCATCCAACTGGCCAAGGAGCTTCTCAAGAGCTTGCTCGGTATTGAGCATGCGGTCCTCCTCGCGGATACCATCGCCCTCACCGCGGACAACTTCAGTCCACCCTTCAGGGGGCTGGTACCAGCCAGGACCGCTCAGCTTGCCGCTGAGAGCACTGGCGGCAACAATTTCGGGGCTACCCAAGTAGGCCTTAGCTTCAGTGCTACCCATACGACCCTTGAAGTTACGGTTCGACGCACTGATGCCGACCTCACCGGGCTCCAGCAATCCCGTTCCCAGACCGATGCAAGGTCCGCATCCAGCGGGGAGGGCCGTCGCTCCAGCCTCCAGGAGGGTCTGCCAGTCACCGGCTCCTTCCGCAGCGAGCTGTTCGGGAATAGACGCAGCAGCAATGTAGAACTTGACGCCATCAGCGATCTTCGGGACCTTCCCACCATTCTTCTCTGCGGCATCCTTGAACACCTTGGCAGCAGCGGCAATGTCCGAAGCCCGAGAGTTAGTGCAAGAAACCAGGTAGGCCTTGTTGACCTTAATATCCTGGGCTTCCAGCTCCTTCAGGGGTGTGGCAATCTTGACCGAGTTGGGGCCGGAAACGTAGGGAGAAAGAGTTGAAAGGTCCAGGAAAAGCTCCTTCGCATACTTGGCACCCTTATCAGCAGTGAGAGGGTTCACAAACAGCTGCTCGATGGCAGGGTGGGTGAAGTTGCGAGCAGCCAGAGTCTTGAACGGCCCATCAGCCAATCCCATAGCCGCAGTGGTAGCCTTGCCCTTCATCCAGCCTTTCAGAACACTGTCCATGGGGAAAATTCCTGACAGGGCACCCCACTCAGTCGTCATGTTGGCAATTGTCAACCGGCTATCCATGGGCAAGCTTCTCATGGTTTCCTCAGAGCCGGTGAACTCAATTGCATGGTTCAGAACATCATCCTTGTCGAACAGACCGCACAGAGCAACGATGACGTCCTTGCCAGTCACGCCGGGAGGCAGGATACCGGTAAAAGTAACCTTGGCCACCGGAGGGATCTGCCACCACGTTTTACCGGTCGCCCAGATACTGGCCGCATCGGTTCTCACGATGGGCGTTCCGACGGAGGCCACCGCACCGTATGTGTTGCTGTGACTGTCCGAAGCGACCACCAGTGTGCCGGGCCAGGCAAAACCTTCTTCAACCATAATTTGGTGACCAATTCCTCGACCGGCGGGATAGAACTCGACACCGTGTTGCTTAGCAAACTCCTCGATTTGGCGGTACTTTTGCAGGTTCTTTTCCGTTTTGTTCTGGACATCGTGGTCGAGTGTCATCACGACCTGATCGGGGTCGTGCATCTTGGAGGCACCGATCGACATGAACTTCAATGCGACGGGCCAAGAGTTATCATGGGTCATGATCCGGTGGGGAGCGATAGTCACATAGTCGCCGGACTTGACGAACTTGCCTTCGGGCAGTCCTACGGCATATTTCTGAACAATCTTTTCCGTCAAGGTCTGGGGCACGGCCCGGGAGGTCTGCAAGGAGGAGAAGAGGGCGGCGGAGGAAGGGTCATCCAGCTGGGACTGGAAGACATCCTGGAAAAGGAAGCGTGTGGAGGCGAATGCTCGTCGTTGAGGCGTGCTCGGCACGCGGAGGGAGATCCAGCGCCTGCCAGGGCCAGAGGGCAACAAACGCGACTGCATCTTCAGACAGAGGCGTCAAGGATGGGGTGAGGACAGAGAGAAAGAGAAGGAAGAAAGTTGAGTGACTCAAAAGTTCACACTTGAAGGCAAACTAAAGGGAAGCCCCGACGCGGACCCAGACCCGATGATCGACCAATCAGACGGCACGCATTATTTCTTGCTCCGCGATCGGAGGATTCTGGGGTAAAAGACGGAAGGTCTATTGTGTCTATATACTCATTCTATCGTACATGGAATTTTATATTTATGTTTACAGTTTCCACACGGCCCAATCCTTCAGGTCCAATTCTTTGAGAATTCCCCGGAGTGGCCCTTGCAATTCCATTCCTTGAGCCCAAAGCTTTGGTCCTGCCATATAGCTAATGAAGCCCTCCGGTCCGGAGACCAGAATTAGGTTGTTTGTGTTCTTGCTTTCTTCCGATTCCTGGGAAGACGGGCCACTGCGGGTGGAGTCCAGGATAAGCTGCTTCCCGATGCTGGTGCCTTCCTCATCGACGAAGTAATCCACGGTCACCTGTCCAGGGTATTGTGACCGAAGAGCCTCCAACTCACGGACTATCAGCGAAGTGCCCGTACTGCGGGGTGCTTCAACAGGGCCGCCTTGGTTGTCCTTCGAAGACGTGAAGAGTCCGGAGAACCACGACCTTGAGGGTGCTGTTGTAGTTGTATTTGTGTCACTCACACCACCAACGCAGTCCTCCCGCCTCCTGTTGGCCCAGAGGATATGTATTCTAGGCTTATGTGTTTCGTTGGTGCGGCGAAGAAGCGTGTGTCCAGCTTGCAAGGCAGGGGCAATTCCCGTGCCTCCGGCGATGAACAAGATCCGCTGCGTTTCCGGAGGAATCTCACATTCGATTCGCGGGCCACGTACTTCAATGGGTGCTCCGATCTCTAGACTGTGCAAATAGCGGGAGACCTCGCCGAACGGGTCCTTCCGAATGAAGAAGCGCAGACACTCGTCTTCTTCATCTTCCGAGCAAGTGGCTGGCAGAGGTGTGTAGTCTCTCCCAATCTGCAATTGTGGCTGTTTAAACATTACACTCCAGACACCAGTCTTCCATGCTTCCTCGTAGACGGCATGATTGCTACCATCAGCTGCGGGCGGTTGAAGAACGAAGTAGCTTCCAGTCGACGAGACCGGTTCGCGGGATACTAAATAGTATGGTGTGAACTTCATCTGATTTAGGGTTGTCGAATCTGGACCCTGTTGCGACCGGACCAGGGCACCAATACCCGCCGCAGCGGCAGTTATGAAGGCGAACCGCAGCCATCGTTGCTGCTTCGGCGGCGGAGTAGACGACGGAGAGGGAGTAGAAGACGCCGGCGAGGTAGACGCATGGCGTCTGGAGGGTCGGATCACGAGCCTCCCAACGGTGGGCGACTCATTAAACCGGCGCAACAAGCCCTGAGGAAAAGCGCGGGGCTTCATGGGTGTAGGGAAAAAATTGGGGCAATGGATGGGGAAGTGGAACATGACGCTATAAAAAGCAGACCGGAGATCTCATGGCGCTAAGCCCCATTGGGCCGCGGACGCAGGGAGTCGCATTTCCCTTCATCTTTCCTTCTTTGTCCCTCAATGAATCTTCTTCAATACTTCATGCTTCTTCCTCCCAAGCCGCTAATTCTTGTCTCTTCCTTATCTGCTGGTCCCCATTGTTTTTATAGGGGAGGAGGAATTGCCCGTCCACTCGTTGCTCCCGGAAAGTCTCCCCCCAGTGGCATGGAACACCGCCCCGTGCCCCATCCTTAACTGCCCGCTCTTGTTCTTCCACCTCCCAACCAGCATTTGTTTCGAATCTTCTTCGAGCGGCATGTCCCATATAACCTTTTCGAATTCTGAGTCCAGGTCGGGCAATTACCATGCTCCCAGGGATTCCCTCGAACTGGCGTCTTTAGCCTCTTCGCCCGACTCCGCCCCCAGATCCTCCCGCTCCTCGTCTCCCTCCGGCATTTCGTCGTCGCGCAAGCTCTCCCTCGAAGATGAAGACCCTCTTTCCAGCTCCCATCCACAGTCGCAGGGCCCGTCAGGACGTCCCCGCTCGGCTCGCTCATACTCGATATCCTCGGCCTTTGACTTTGGGGCGACCTTATTTCCCTTGTCGCAGACGACCGGTGGTTATGCTCCGTTGGGGGTCTCGTCCGCAGACCGAGAGGCTGGAATCGCTGATGGGTCCTTGGAGAGGAACAAGACATTGACTTATATGAACGGTCTATCTCTCGTGATTGGGCTGGTGATCGGCTCGGGCATCTTCTCATCCCCCAGCCAGGTCAATGTCAATGCGGGGTCGCCTGGTGCATCGCTGATTGCATGGGTTGTTGCTGGCTTACTCGCTTGGACGGGGGCAGCCAGCTATGCAGAGCTCGGTGGAGCTATTCCCTTGAATGGAGGCTCCCAGGTGTATCTTTCCAAGATTTTCGGGGAGCTAGCGGGCTTCCTGTTCACGTGGTGCTCAGTCTTGGTCTTGAAGCCGGGCAGTGCGGCCATAATCGCAATTATCTTCGGAGAATACGTCGTAAGAGCCTTTGTCGGCGCAGACGTGGAATCGGTCAATCCCTGGATAAACAAGGCTGTTGCGTTTGGCGGAATCTTCGTGGTGACATTGTTGAACTGTATTTCGACGAGAGTGGCTGCGCGCATTGGTGACCTCTTCATGTTTTTCAAGTTTGTCGCATTGCTGGGCGTCACCATCATCGGTATCATTGTGGCTATCACAGGTCACTCATCGACTGGCAGTGCCAACAAGGAGTGGAAGACTGGCTGGTTCGAGGGCACGAACCTCGACATATCCGCTTGGGCTGTAGCTCTGTACGCAGGTCTTTGGGCCTTTGACGGTTGGGACAACGTACGTTTCTGACATCCCCAATATCCCACAATTATCTTTTACTGACTCCACTCAGACAAATTACGTGACTGGTGAATTTAAGAATCCCAACAAGGATCTTCCACGTGTGATTCACACGGCTATGCCACTAGTCATCCTCTCCTATCTCCTTGCTAATATCTCCTACATTCTCGTTCTCCCACATTCCACTATTGAGGCGACTAATACCATCGCCATTCAGTTCGGCGACAAGGTCTTTGGTCACGTGGGAGCCCTTATATTCGCGCTTATCGTATCCGCGAGTTGCATTGGCGCCTTGAATGCCACGGCCTTCACCAGCGGCCGTTTAGTTTATGCAGCCGGAAAAGAGGGTTATATCCCCTCTATTTTCGGTAAACTATGGACTCGAGACATTTCGACCAACCGACTTCAGCGCCGCTCCTGGGCCACGAAGGTCTTTTCGCGTCTCTGTGGAGATGGCACGCGAATTGGTTTCACCCCCATTTACGCCATGGCGCTGAACAGTACACTCACCCTCATTTACGTCATCGTCGGCGAGTTCAAGACCCTTGTCACCTTCTACGGTGTAGCCGGATACACCTTCTACTTCGTGACGGTGCTAGGCCTGATCATTCTCCGCGTGCGGGAGCCCTACCTGCATCGCCCCTACAAGACCTGGATATCCACTCCCATCATCTTCTGCTGCGTTAGTCTCTTCCTCCTCAGCAGGGCCGTCATTGCAGAACCGCTCCAGACATTAATCGTCGTCGCGTTCATCATTGCCGGTATCCCCGTCTATTACTGGCGCATCTACAAACGCGATGGACGTAAAGCGTTTCCGAACTGGAAATTCTGGCAGCGCCAGTGAGATCCATCCTATAATTTCTTCATGACCCCTCAACAACAACAACGAGAAACAGCCGGTAAATTAGTTATGATATGACCACTACTATTCATGTTTTTCTTATAATACTTTCCCTTTATCTTTTCTTCTCGGGATGTTGGTCTTCTTTTTATAATGTTATTATACTTTTTTTATATCATTTTTCTTTCTTACCTATTTTCCCCCTTTCGTTTCTTACATTCATAGCAAACTATGCTATATATCGGTTGGGCTTGGTTGGATGGACGGTTCTCCAAGATAATCATTTGCTGTGATACCCATTCGCATATTACCCGGGGTTATTTTGCATGACGGAAAAGCCGGTTCAAGTGGGAAAGGCTTCAAGGCATTTGCTTTCAGCTTTGCATATCATCATCGAAGTTATGGCGATGGGTGGAGTCTTATTTTCCTTTTCTATTTGGGGTCCTTTTTCTGGGGAACGGGGTCATATGCCATACACACAATTATAATTAGTGAGATTAAAACAAAACAATGAACTGAGGCTTCTGCATAGCTATGGCTAGTACCATAGATATCGAAGCCCAGTGCCATGATGGTTCTATATTTCTCCAAAATCTAACCTTACTACTCTGTCATGTGTCAATGAACATTGATTCTAAACTGGTATCTCACTCGCGCGTCGACTTGTTCCTCATTCTCAATTGCTCGATCAACGAGACGCGATCAGATTTATCGAGGCCCAACCCATCCCAACTATCTGCCTGCAGAAGCACAGCCGGAGGATCATCATGGCTGGTCTCTCCCTCGGCGAAGAAACGCAGTTCACACTGAGAGGCTTGGTCGGGTTGCAGATAGATGCGGGTAGAGATGACGGTACGCTCGTTCACAAACACTTCGAGCACGCTCTTATCCCAGAACGCGTGGATATGTAGCGTCTCTTCTTTTTGTTCGCCGAATGGGGTTTCAAACGTGAATAGCGTATGGGGAGCGGTCTCTGGTTCATGGTTGATGCGGGAGTCATGCGGAATTGGTCGTTGGATACAGAAGGTCTCGCTGGCTGATTCCCAGTATAGAAGCGTACGGCACGGTCGGTCTGCATGAGCTGATTTGAGTTGGTGGATTGTTAGTGGATGTGAGAATTGAGAAGGCTGGGATGTATGCCGGTGTGAGGGGGAGGAAGAAACATACTGAGGCCATGGCGAACTTCTATGCCTACTCTGCCGCATTGGTTACTGACGGAGAATTCGGCGTGGAGTTCCCATTTCGATGTCGCCAGAGGAAAGTGGGCTTTTGGTGGAGAGATACAACTGTCGAGTGTGTTTAGGGGCAGATGCTCAATATGCATGCTGCTCGTCTTACTGCGAAGAGCTTTAAGTCGTGGGTCTGGAACAACACCCAGCGTTCGGATGGTGAACTTTTTTTGCGTCTCCTCTTGTGTTTCGATAGAGGTGATAGTACTTAACTCCGAACGACGAGCTTGTTTGACATGGCGCAGAGTGATCGGTTTCACTACCCGTGGGATAGACAGCATGCTGCTCCATCCTTGTTGGTGCCGTAAATCATCTGGCAGGTCATCTTCTGTAATCCAGCAGTAGACTATCTGCTGACCTGTGGCTGGGTCCCAAAAGCTATTTGCCGCATAGGCGCAACCGTGATCAAAGACCCCAGAAAATGCATAAGAAGCGAGAGCGTCGGTAGTGCTACGCGGTTGGGTGCTGGAGCAAGGCTTGATGGACATCCAAAGCTGTGCTCGAGGTGTCTTTTTCCGGCTTTTGTCGGGTAAAATACCTCCCTCAGTCCCCATGAGAATAAACAATCGAGTAACATCGTCGTCATCCGTCATGGGAATCCAGTTGACGACTTCCCAGTTGACCCCAAGATCGCTGGACCAACGAGACGGTTGGAAATTGAGCCCAACATCAACTAGCGGTCCCAAGTACTTCCACTGTCGTAAGTCGTGAGGATTGATGGAATACACAAAGGCTGTTGGGGTCTGTCCGGCGATCCCTCCGGAGATAAGACCGCAGAGGTCGGAGGATGAAAATGCCTCCGGCTGTTCCTGCATGAACTGCCAGACGCCAACGAAAGGATCCCGCCAGCCTGTTACTTTGACATTTGGGGGACAGCGTGGTATAACTGGGTTGCAATCAAGACGCTGCCATGTCAAACCATGGTCATGCGAAGTGGCTAAACTGACTGACTCGGAGCCAGGCACATACGGCAACGTGTAATGAATGGGAAGGCGCTTCACTGATGTATATATAACTGTAAGGGCATTCGGGGCCCCATCTACGGCATTGGGTCGGAAACAGCCTGTAAAGACACCGCATTGGTCATATTCGGTGGTGGGCTGCAGACATGGCTCGGGGTAGACATCCCAATGGAGTAGATCATTAGAAACCGCGTGCCCCCAAGACATATTTCCCCAGTCATTGCCTTTCGGGTTCCACTGGAATGAGAGGTGATAGAGCCCGGTTGCAGGATCATGACCCAGACCGCACGGATCATTCATCCACCCGTGGGGGGCAGTGAAATGGTAGGATGGCTGCCATCGCTGGGCGTCATCTGAGTGGCTAGTTTGCCGCTCCATTCGATTTGATCTCGAGTGGAAACTGGAAAAGCGATAGCTTTGCGGTTGGTTGCGGAGACTCTTGGAAGTGTCTCGAGGTTGAATCGCTTGTCAATATCAGTAGTACTCTCTCCATCGGCAAGCAATGGCGGGAGTTCTCCTATCAGGCAAGAAGCAATCAGTCGTCGCTTTAGTGACGCCTTATCAATATCTCCCGATAAAGCTCAAGGTCCCGGAGTTAACGGCGGCTGCAGCAGAATTCGGTCCAGCCGAGCTTGTCTGTCTGTAGTGAGTGGACGATGATTCTTGCTCGAATTGTCGCGTCGTGGGGCAGGCATGATTCAATCAATCAATCAATCAATCCCCGGAGGATCTTCGGCGAAAAGAACCCCGGACTCAAGTCAACTCCCACTCTATTTCAAACATGGATATCCAGCATATTGTGGGGAATGAAAAAGGTATCGCTACACCAACTTGTATCAAACAACGGGAGAAGTCTGTCCCCAGCACTGGCAAAATTGAATCCAAGCCTGTCGTATCCTCCATAGGTATCATTTTATCAATTTCCATCGCGGATATCAAACACATTCTTCCCCGTAAAAGATCGATCCAATGATAGAGTTTAAGCCAAGGGACGATGGCTGGAGATAGGATCCACTAGCGTGGCAAGTGGAGCCACAAGAGAGAAACTCTGCCAGTGTCTGCATCCCATCTTCCACAAGAGGATTGCTTGGTAGGACAATAAATAGAATCCCCCATGGGCCTGCGACAACAATTTTTCTGGGGACGGGCTGGGTGACGCGTCTTCCCCCCTTGACATTCTACTGGGCTTGTTTCCTGCAGATATTTCTCTTACCAACCTGGTGGGTTTTCCAAACATTGAGGAGATCAATGAAGTATCATGATTGTTTGGCGTCTGCGATGCCAGTCAATCTTTTGCATTTACATGCATGAGGAGAATCGCAATGGCCAATGAATTGAAACCCCATGCCCCTGACACCATTAAGGATGTCAGCCATGTTCAGCATGTCGATTTCGCCTCAGAGAGCAGAACCTCCAAGGAGCGTACAGTCAATTCCTTTCTGCTTCTGACCTGCGCTGCTTTCGGCTCGGCTTCATTGGTGTTCGGTTTCGATGACAAGATAATTTCACCTGTAGCTGCATTGGCGCCATTTGTAAGTGTCCATGAACCCTTTGTGAGAAAGCGTCACAGAAATGGTTCCATTGGGCTAACAGCATGATTAGGTCGACAAATATCAAGGGCCTGAGCCACTAACAGGGAAACTTGTCTTGACGGCTCGTAATCAAAGCATATTATTCTCCATCCCTCTAATCGGTTCTATCCTGGGAGGCTTAGCTGCCTCTCCGCTGAATTCGAGGTTGGGCCGGAAGTGCCCCTTGTTGATTGCCTATATCATCTCCATCGGCGGCAGCTTGCTCCAGGTCCTAGCCCCAAACCTGGGGGCATTCGTTTCTGGTCGGTTTATCAACGGGATCGCTACAGGGATTGCCAATAGCACGGCTCCCTTGTATCTAGCAGAGGTGTGCACGCCGTGCTCTAGGCTTTCTGGGAATCTCACTCACCATATTACAGGTCGTTCCTGCCTCTATGAGAGGCAGAAGCGTATCTCTGATTAATATTCTCACCCTGGTAGCTGGTGTCCTGGGTACCATCGTGGTGTTGTGCACTCACGACTTGAGGGGCTCGAGTTCGTACCGGATTCCTTTGACGGTCCAATGTGTCCTTCCTGCGTTGCTATTCATCTGGACCTTGCCTCTGCCCGAGAGCCCGCAATGGCTTGTTTCTAAAGGCAGGCTGGAAGCGGCTCGTAGCAACTTGCAAAGACTGCGCTGCTGCAGTAAACAACGGGTCGACGAAGAGCTTCGAGATATGGAATTTTCCGAAGGACACGCTTCTGGTGTGAAAGTGTCCTTTATGAAGATTTTCTCAAAGAAGCACCTTCAGCGCACCTTGACTGCCGGTTCTTTCTACTCTCTGAACCAGGTTTCAGGCATCATTCTTTCAACAACCTACAGCACCGTCTTCCTATCCGGGATTGGCATCGGAGACCCATTCACATTAACTGTGGTAGCTTCTTGTTGCACTCTTGCGGGTACAATTGCTGCGCCGTTCTTGTTGGACCGGGCTGGCCGCCGCCCTACCGCATTAGTGGGCATGAGCATCCTCTTCGTCATCGACCTTGCGGCTGGTGGTCTGGCGTTCAACAAGGGGAACCGCTATTCGGCCATAGCAATTGCTGCCTTGTCCTTTGCGTTCAACTTCTTCTGGGCCTCCTCCTTCTCCCCAATATCGACGCTGCTGCCTTCGGAGATGGCTACTCCTAAGCTTCGTCACCACACCATGGCATATACAATCGCCTGCGCCCAGACCACAGCAGTGATCACGACTCTGGTGGTGCCCCAGCTAACAGCACCCGATGCAGCAAATCTGGGGCCAAAAACCTATCTTGTTTTTGCCGGCTGCATGGCGTGTATCCTGATCTTCGCCTATCTTTTCATCCCAGAGACCAAAGGCCGCACATTCGTGGAAATTGACGCAATGTATAATGCTAATATTCCTGCACGGAAATGGAGGCAGTATTGGTCTTCGGTCGAGAAGGCCACTGGCTCTGATTCCCAGGGCTCAACAAAGCCTCCATAGCGGCAACTCGAAGATGAAAGCCAACTCAACCAGCGGAGCTGTCATCCGTGTAAGAAATACGAAAATGTAACATTTATTTATATGGCCTTGTATCCGATAGTGCACTACAACCTGGCCGATTTCAATACCATGGCGTGGTGTGGTGACCTTCTATTGTACCAAAGAGTGCGCTTAGACCAAACCAAAAAGATAGGGTAACAGTTTCCTGAACCACTTTGTGATAAACCCCAGAACGCCAAATATAAAGTAAGAACACAGAAGAAGAAAAGAAATGTCAGGGTAAGATACGGAAAGCATGGATGCCGTCATTATGCAAGCTCTTATTACTGGGAGCCCCAGGCATGACCGGTGCCGTCCAATGAGCTCAGTAATGTTCGATACCTATCCATGAAAGGATGGTTTCCACCTCGCAGACTGTTCAACAGTAAGAGGAAATCCTCCGTTAGAGTTTTGGAGACCATTTGACTACCAGCCATTGGTTGAGGGTTGGGCATGGTTCTCGCCGGTGATGCCAATGTGGTGCCCTTCGCGAGAGGCATCTGGACATTAAACAAGACGCTAATGGCGCCGACTGCAATGTCATACAACTTCTCAGCCTACTTTGGTTAGCAACTTTGATCGAAAGATATTCAAGGTTGTACATACAAGCCCAATTCCGTGAGCTTCCATGGAGCTCAGCCGCAAGGATCGGCAGATGTCAAGCGTCTCTTTCGCAACAGAAACGGCGTAGTGGAGCCCCAGTTCATGGTGTTCAGATGCAGGCCGTAGTAGCCCATGAGTGGAACAGAGCACCCAAATACGATTCTGAAGCCATTTTTTCGTGATAAAGACGTCGGCACATTGAGTTTCTCGTAGACCTATTGCCGGGCGGTTTCCCTGGTTATCGCCCAAGGTTGACTTAGAGCGCTCAAACCAGTCATAGCCTTTATATCGCTCCGACTCGCTAACCCGGCTAAGATTCTGATGGATCGTTAAGGCCTTGGCTTCCGTAAGCTTCTCGCAGTAGCCAGCGCTGATGTTGCATCTTTGGTTCCAGCAATCGACAACATCCTCGTCAATAGCATCGAACAATTCCATCAGACGAGCGAGGCCCATCATCCCCTCGGCATCTTTTTCATTATGGACGATGATTCCAGACACCACACTATGGGTGGCAGTATGAATAAAGTCATGAACAGGTCGCATGCTGAAGCCTGGTCGACCCCAGAAAGTGATGGGATGCCTTCGCTGTAATGCATAAGCTCTGTAAGAATTGATAGTTAGTGACATATCAAAGAAGCCTGACCCAGATGTACAGTACCTCTCCGTGATTGACAGGACTAGATACGTCCGTAAGCGTTGTCCCTTCTCGTCACTGGGTAAATCTCGATATGAATCCGGGTTGTTCAACCCCATTGTAGCAGCAAGGTCGAGAGCCTCCCTTAGACGGAGCCATGCGGCGTTATGCTGGTTGCTGCCAAACAGGCACCCGAACAGAAAGAAACTGGTAAGGACCGCTTCAACTGTTGGGTGCTCCCCAAAATCAGAGCAGCTTCGCATTTTGGTCGCTTCATTCATCATGGACCGAGCTTGGTTGGCTCGAGAAGAAGACGTCGGTCGCTCGGCGATTTCAATTGGTTGGGTAAGGGAGAATGCGCACAATGCGAGAAGCATTGCACCAAATTGCGGGTTTCTGCGATGCTCCTGGGACAACATTCGGATGAATAGTGATGAACGGTTTAGCACCGGTAATGTTGGATGCAAACGATCAAAATAGACGTCAATCCAGGGTATCATGTTTGCTTCCACAATGTGTGAGGGCCAGAGCGTGTTTGTTTCATTTGGGGGCGGGTGGAGGACACTGGGCCCGGACATGGGTACACTTGCTGCCTCTACTGGGTGTGACTGTAGACCTGCAGAAGCAGCTTCTGTTTGTATGATAGATGGAAGCGAGGCTTTCAGGTAGATGTTACTGCCCGGGAAATCGAACACGGGTACCTGAGCATCCAGTGTATCTGGAAGCCAGTATTCGACATCAGTGCGCTCATTCCAATTGACGCTATTACTATGAGTTTCAATTTGAGGGGCCCCGGAACTCCAATTAGGTGCAATTGGGGCGGGTGGTTGAGGATGAGAAAGCTCCACGGGTACCGAGGAGGCCTCACTATGCATGGGCCAGTGTGCGGCATCCTGAATTGGCTGGACGGCATTGGAGCTCCCATCTCCCCGGGATGGTGACTCCGTTTGATAAGCGAAAGCACTTGGGAGGGGGTTGGAAGCTACTTGGCTCTGTGAGCTATTCAACCCCGGTAAATTGGTCTGCTGTTGCCGGATCTGAGACACACGGCTTTTCATACGCAACGGATTAAAATGGTTAGATTAGTAAACATATAAAAGGAAGCCAGACAGAGCCAGGCAAGCATTTTAACTCACTGTCCAGTGGGACCACGTTTCTTCTGCGGTTGAAAAAAGGTGCATTCAAAGCCCATGGAAACACATGCCCGGCATGGTTGGGATAGACTACACTGCAGTTACTGAGGCGATTAGCTCGGCCGGCCAGACTCGGAAAGACAGTCAGAGTACACGGGTGGACCTCGGAGGTTTTTTAAAAAGAATTAAGGAAATAAAAAGCAGACAGGGGGACCCCAGATCGGAAGGGGTCCGTAGGAATCCAACTATATTACTTGCCTTGATCTTGCGGAACTTGCATTGGTCGCACGCACGTTTCGCAATTGCGCCGGAGGACTTCTTTCGGGACTCGGTGCGGATGGCACCGGTCATCGCTGATGTTGCAGCGGCACCAGAGTCGGGGGGATTCATGGTGGCATGTCCTCAAAATTATTGAGGCTGAATGGTGGAAGGGGGGAACTTAGTAATCGAGAGACAAGTAAAAAGACAACATTGAACAATGCATCTCACGAGTCATGAGCATTGTTGTGAACAGATCAAAATTGTTTTCCAACACGCCTCGGAGCTCACAGCCAGTGATGGAAAGCGTCGGCAGCTGAGTGAGGAGAAACGGGGAGATTCGAAGGGGAAAAGCTGGCCGGCGTGTGGCCGGTGTTTCCAGTGTGGATTTGACCCTGGTGGGGATTCATTCCCCCACTCCAAATCTAATCCAATCCTTTTTCTCTCTCCCTCTTAAACAACCTGACTTTATTCTCGAAGACAGTATTGAATACAATTACCGTTTCCCCAGATTTTCTTTGGGGATTGTCTTTTTCAAATGCGTTTTAAACATTATCCTTGGACAGTCTCCCCCCCAGGAAAAAAAACATTTGCCGGTTGATCAGCGATCCCCCGGAATTACTTCGGCGTGCCTGATTAGCCAAGGTTCAATCAATCCAAATGCAGTCTAATCCGTTCTGTTAGAATCTAATCTAGTGATGGGGGTCATTTTTTCTTATCAAGACTTGGATTCGAGCGTTTACTCCGCACGAATGCCTGGCTTCGCTAACAAATGACCCTTGATTCCGTAGTTAACCCCACCTTCACCAAGTTGTACTACTGTTTGACTTTCCGTATCTGCTCCGAGAGCTGCCAGATTACTATCAACTAGTTGATGACTCCGATTTATATTTGGGGCCCGCACTAGCAGATAAGTTCTGGTGCGGACACCAACTAATACCTCTGGCATTCATCCATACTATATATACTTCTAAGGGAGAAAGTGACAACTACGGGCATAAAACCTCTTGATCCCATTTGTGTTTCGATACTAAGATAACCAACCATCTTGGAATATCTTTACCACAATGGGAAGTCTCCGGTCGTGGGAGCAAATTGTTTCCCAGAAGCTTTCTCTACGGAATCAGCTCCTGAAGCCGTACCAAGTCAATGATATTGACCGACGTCTACCCCAGCTGCTCTCGGTCCACGAGCGCACGTGTATCCTTGAAGATCCTGTCATCCAGGAGATCACGGACATCGACAGCGTGCCTAGGCTTTTCGAATGCCTGAAATCTGGCAAATACACCGCTGAGCAGACGACCTTAGCTTTTATCAAAAGGTAATCTCTTTAGATAAACTGAATTGCCCTGTCTAGCCTTCCCACTCTAACTGACTCTTTTGACACCAGAGCTGTGGTAGCCCATCAGTTGGTAAGTCTAACTGGCATAGAAGCGTTTCTATAAATCACCACTAAGAAGCATTATCTGACAGACCAACTGCCTCACGGAAATCGTGTTCGAAGATGCCTTAGAACAAGCCCGGCAGCTTGACCATGCTTTCCGACAAAACGGTCAAATCAAAGGACCACTTCACGGCATTCCAGTCACAGTAAAAGATCAGTTCAATGTCAAGGGTGTTGACACCACACTTGGCTATGTGGGACGTTCTTTTGCTCCCGCTACAGAGGATGCAGTTCTAGTGCAAATGCTGAAGGATATGGGCGCTATTGTGCTGGCGAAAACCAATCTACCACAGAGTATAATGGTTTGTATTGGCCTACCTCATCAGTGGAGGCCACTGTTCTGACCTATAACTTAGTGGGCTGAAACAGACAATCCGCTTTGGGGACTGACCGTCAACCCACGGAATCCTGAGTTTACACCAGGCGGTTCTACCGGAGGGGAAGCTGTTTTATTGGCTTTGCACGGCTCTATTTTGGGATATGGAACAGACATCGGTGGCAGTGTGAGGATTCCTCAGAGTCACATGGGTCTGTATAGCCTGAAGCCTACTGTAAGTCCCAACCACCTTCCCAGACCTGCTAAAGTAAAGTGGACTGACCTGACTGACAAACGCTATAGAGCAGTAGGCTTCCGTACCATGGCGTACCGGTGTCTACCGAGGGGCAGGAGCATGTTCCCTCTTCAGTTGGCCCCATGGCACGAGATCTATCCTCTCTCTGCTATATAAGCCGACTGATTGCTAATGCACATCCGTGGCAGTTAGACCCCAAATGTACCCCGCTACCTTGGAACGACAGCGCCCACGAGGAAGTCCAGAACCGGCCTATGGTGATCGGACTCATTTTAGACGATGGAGTTGTGAAAGTTCATCCTCCCATCGAGAGAGCGCTCCGGGATCTTGCCGCAAAACTTGAAGCGCACGGCCACGAGCTAGTCCTCTGGGATGCTTCGGATCATCTAGAATACATCCAACTCATGGACGCTTTCTACACTGTGGATGGGGGTGAAGACATCCGCCGCGATGTGGAAGCTGCTGGGGAGCCCTATATTCCGCACGTGGAAGCATTGGTTAATCGCGGAAAAGCCATTTCCATCTACGAGTACTGGCAGCTCAACAGGAAGAAGATTGCGCTGCAAAAGAAATACTTGGATAAGTGGAACGCAACACGCTCTCCCTCTGGGAAGCCCATTGATGTACTCTTGGCCCCGACAACGCCCCATCCTGCTATTCCCCACCGAACGCTGCGATGGGTTGGATATACCAAAATCTGGAATTTCCTTGATTACTCCGCTGTAACATTCCCAGTGGATCAGGTGCGGGCTGAGGTGGACGAACTGCCAGCAGGATATCAACCGAGGAATGAATTGGACGCATGGAATTGGGGGCTTTACAATGCGGAGGCTATGAATGGTCATCCGATCAATGTTCAAATCATCGGCAAGAAGCTAGAAGAGGAGAAGGTCCTAGGAGCAGCGACTGCCATTGAGAAGATCTGGCGCAGCTAGTTTGAGACATCTATAGCATAGTCAAATAGTCCAATTTCGGTGTGTCTCTAAGTTACTCGAGTTAATTATCTAGATATCTCCATCGCACCGAGCGCAACCCCCACTTTCCCGCAAGTCTTACTCCAACCGGGCCGTTGGAGTCACTGCCAGAAGTGGAGGCGTCACTGTTGGAGTAAGCCAGTATACTGTGTTTCAATCCAGAGCAGGTACTAAGTAGTTAGTATCTAGATAGCTAGCAGACTAGTTGGACTAGATCGGATCATGACAGTTATCGACTAAATAATACTCAGTACTAATGGCTACAGTAGCATCTGTATACTGATAAGACATTCTATTGCTGTAGCACCGACTCTCTCCATGCCCGGTTATCGCGCCTTATCTTCTCCCCCTCCGATCATTTATCGCATTGGACCGAATTAGTCGGTTCCCCCCCCTCATCGGTCCCCTCACTGATCGACTAAGTACTATATAAAAGAAAAGTCAATGACCAAGGTCGGGGGGAGAGAGTTACTCCTCGGTTAAATCTGTAAACTTGACTGTCTATTTCTCACTCAACCCACTTATACGTATCCTACACTTCTGCCACATCATCCCAGATTAAACCCAATCTCCCCATTACAGAAAAAGAACACCAATATGGGCAAGAAGCGCGTTCTCGTCAGTTACGGCGTCGATATCGATGCCGTCGCCGGCTGGCTAGGATCCTACGGCGGCGAGGACAGTTCCAATGATATCAGTAGAGGTAAGCAAAAACCAACACACAACATTCTATTATACACCCACGGATTATAGTAGTACACTCACTCACACCCTGCAGGACTCTGGGCCGGCCACATCGGCACTACACGTCTCCTCAAACTCTTCTCCAAATACAACATCAAAGCCACTTTCTTCATCCCCGGCCACTCACTCGAAACCTTCCCCGAAGAATGCGCCATGGTACGAGATGCCGGCCACGAAATCGGCTTGCACGGCTACACACACGAAAACCCCTCCGACATGACCCTCGAGCAGCAACGCGACATCCTCGATAAGACCTATCACATGCTGTACGATTTCACTGGCAAGCCGCCGCGGGGCATCGTTGCGCCATGGTGGGAAACCAGTAAAGAGATGGCCGATTTGTTGCTCTCCTATGGAATTGAATATGATCATTCCATGTCTCATCATGATTGTCAGATGTATTGGTTGAGAACGGGCGATACATGGACTAAGATTGATTATTCCCAGAAGGCGGAAACTTGGATGAAGCCGCTGGTTAGGGGCCAGGATACGGGACTCGTGGAGATCCCGGGCAATTGGTACATTGATGATTTGCCGCCTATGATGTTTATCAAGTCCGCGCCGAATAGTCATGGTTGGGTGAATCCTAGGGATGTTGAGGAGCTCTGGAAGGTGAGTTTGCTTTTCTTCTGTCTTGGGGGTTGACTCCTTGGTTTGGGGGCCTTTCGATGTAACTGATGTTCTGGCAGGATCATTTTGACTACTTCTATCGCGAGTACGATGAGTTTGTCTTCCCCATGACAATTCATCCTGATGTGTCGGGTCGTCCGCATGTTCTTCTTATGCATGAGAGGTAAGTTGGGTGATTCTCTGGTTAGAACTGTCTCATGTGGGGTGCCTTGCTGATCAGATCTAGAATCATTGAATATATAAACAAGCACGAGGGCGTGGAATGGGTCACTTTTGAACAGATGTGCGATGATTTCAAGAGCAAGAACAAGCCGCCGGAGGGCGCCAGAATGCCATCTGCTCCCATGCCTGCAAGGAAGTGAATCCAGTCCTATGATGTATGAACTGAGCCTAATAAATGCTACCTGGAGTCTATATCAATGATAACATGAAAATGAAAGAAAGCGTTGATAACATATGCTAAATACCCCAGGGCTTGATATAGCATTGCTTTATAAACGCCCCAAACTCCAAGTTATGCCTGCATCTGATTTACACTTTCATTTTCATCTCAGTTCTTCGGTGGCTCAAAGAGCTGCGGCTTCATGTTGATCTTGCAAAGCTTCGCAACGCAGCCGCTGAGCTGGAGCAGTGACTGCACGCCGTCTAGGATGCGCATGTGCGTGAAACCAATCTCCCGGATGAATTCCAGCTTCGAATGTTCTGACAGAGTGGGAATTGTCTTGGTGACACGGAACATGGTGCTGATGATATCATGGGAGGAATACCCCAAATCCCTAAATAATAGTCAGAATAAATCCACACCTGTAGAACTAGCAGACTGCACCGCGATACATACCATAATTCATTGAGTGTCTCCAACGCCGCATCAATTTTGCCTTCCCAGCAAGCCTTGATCATTGCCTGGACCTTGATCGGGTGTGGGCTGTCGACTACCCTGAAAACGTTGTCCCCACTGACGAAACCAAAACCCGACCATGTACTCTGCAGGTTGTTGATAGCCTGACGCATATCTCCCTCAGCACTAAATACCAGCGCGGCAATGCCCTCTTCGTTATGTTCCACTTTCTCGGCGTCGCATACTTGCTTCAGGCGCTTGACGATTTGCGCATCAGTCAACCGAGCATAACGTAGGATAGCGCATCGCGACTGAATCGGCTCGATAATCTTGTTTGACTGGTTACAGGCGAACGCAAACCGTGTCGTCGATGAGTAAATTTCCATTGTACGCCGCAAAGCTTGCTGGGCACCTGATGTCATACTGTATCATGCGTGAGCATCCAAGACAGACGATATAGCTCATTGTCCAGTACGTACCTATCGGCTTCATCAAGGATGACAAGCTTATGGCGACCAGGCGGCAAGGTGACTTTCTTCTGGGCAAAGCCCTTAATCCGGTTTCGTACCACGTCGATACCTGTAGAGCAGATTAGATTAAAGCCGCCTCTCGTCTCCCTCTCATAGTGCGGTAGATGTACCTCTTTCATCACTAGCATTGAGCTCCAGAACCGCCTCCTTATATGCGTCTCCCAATAACTGTCTCGCCAAACACAAGATCGAAGTTGTCTTTCCAATACCGGGCATGCCCGAGATGATAACGTGCGGCATGTTTCCATCCTTAGCGATAATCTTCAAGCGCTCGACTGTTTCTGTGTTTCCAACAATGTCATCGAGGAATACTGGGCGATATTTTTCGACCCTGTTGTTAAATTTGGCAGTCAGTTTCGGCATTGTTAAGTTGACTTGAAGTGCTGGGACCTGTTGTACGTACCAGGGTAATTCATAGTCAGGAGGGGCGCCAGCCGTATGCGCCTTAAGGCCATTGCGAGAGGCACTGGCTGAGGATTCGGCTTGAACCATAGCGAATAATAACTTGATGTAAATGATATGCAACCTCAGGCTGAATGGTTTCGTTGTGTGCTAGACCAAGAGCAGGAGCAAAAGCGCTAATGATGGGTTAGAATTGAAGAAGCGGGAGACGCGAAAGTCGAGGCGGAGACGCGTCGGCATAGATTTGGCCCAAAAGGGTAGTTATTGTTCGCCGGTGCTGGAGCCCAAAGCGACTGGACTCCTGCACAATTCCAAAGAATTTCATCAATTACGATGGGATAATGCAAACAATAACCCTTTATACTATTACCGAGCCAGGTATAGAAATACCGGCCTTAGTTTGCTCAAGCACGCATTTGGTCTCAGAGGCAGCCAGTTGACTGATGGGTTTTGCTGGTGATGCCTTTCGGAATCCCGCCTTACAACTTCAACCTCAATACTTACCTAGGGTCCTCTGTATTCACGCCCCATAACCATAAGATATCGCTCCAGGCCAGCAAATATTATGCTCATTCAATCTCCTACGTCGGATATTCTTAGTTGCACCGTTCATTTCTAATTTCATTCACTCAGTCCTTTGGGTTGCTACAACAGCGACCTCACGACTACCGACTCCAGTTTTGCCTGGGCTCAAAACACATTGCTAACCAGCTTTAAGACATCCTTACACATTATACCTAATTGTGTACAAATTCAGTATTCCTCTATCCCTACTACCCTTACGCCCTCGCAATGGGAACAACCTCCGTCCGCCGCAATCTCTTCCACCACCACATTAGCAAACGCGCTGGCTCGACTGGCCCCGCAGGTTCATCTGCACAGGGCAAACCCAGCAACGGAACCTCTGGCCTATCATCGCAGCTGCTGCAATCAAATTCGTCTGAAGCACCTACATCTTTGAGCGCCGGATCCGTTGACAACGGTGAAATCGTGGTTAAGGACAAGAACGGTAGCTACAAGCTTGATGTCCCTGTACTACCCCCCTTGATTGGCGAAGATGGTGAGGAAATGGAGGGTATAGAAGGTGTGGGTGCCGGCGATGGTTCCGGCGCAGCAGGGGGCAATTTGAGCGCGCAGGAGAAAGAGAGTAGGTGGAGATTCAGCTCTGCGCCCCGAGGGCCCAAGTCAGGCGAGCTAATAACGAAGTAGAGATGGAGGCAAACCTCGTTGAGATGATGTATCGGAATCGAAACAGACAAATGAGTATCGAGCCTGCCGGTGAGCCTCGATTACATTCCCAGGATCTATGTTGCGATGCGATTCGGCTGATGTCTATAGAAATACTCAACCGTATACACCAGAGCCTTCGCAATAAGGTTGCCGCCTTGGAGGAAGATAACTGGATGTACGAGGCTGAAGTCGACTCAAGGGCCTAACCGATTCGTTTGCGATATGATGGTCTATACTAATCACTATGCGTGATGAATGATGCGTTCAGACTGCAGGCTACTACATCGTCAAATTCCCCAGGCATCCCTCTAATCGAGCTCCATACTCGTCGGAGGCGCTTCCACCCTCTTCGACCCTCCTCTGCCCTGAGGTGCCATCCGGGCACCAGCACCATCCTGACCGCCACCAAAGAACATGCTTCCCATCATATCCAGCAGCGGGTTGCTCTGTCTGGGAATCTTGATTGCGAAATATTGCTCGCCTATCTGAGATAGTGCGTCATCCCAGATTCCGACGTCTCTGATATGAGATGCATAATGCGCCGTCAACTGCTTATACAAATCCGAACTACCGCGCTGAATCGTAAGGAGCAGCATGCTGATGAAATTCAACAATGGCAGCGCGGGGAAGACGCGCACGTCAGAGCTAGCGCTGCTGACATCTTGCACGCCGAGTGAGGGGTTGGTGGAGGAAAGCTTTGACGTGAAGATAAGGAAGGCTTTGTTGGCGCTGCGAAGGTTTCCGATCAAGAGATATGGGAATACCGCGCGAGAGGCATAAAGTGCGGCAGTGTGCGGTTCGTCATGGGTGTACCACTCGAATTCCAGTTTGGCCAGAGTCTCAGCTGATTCCGAGGTACCAAAGATGAGATGCTTTTCCGCGTCATAGGGTTCGTGGTCTAGAGATAGCTGTTATGAAGTCGCCCTCGAAATCAGAATTAATATGGGTCTGCATACCTTCCGCGTATACCGATCCAGCGGCATGATGCAACTCAGGGTCGCCGCGTTCTAAGGGTCCAAACCTGCCACTCCAACCGATCATCTCCTGGATAAACCTTTTCCGCGTAGGCTCTTCGGGCGGGAATTCGTGCAGAAGTTCAATTAAGCGCTCTGTAGATAGAGGGAGCCCTCGGTCAGTCCGAATACTTCAAAAAGGCACCGTAATACATCGGCAACCTGGCGCGGCGATGTATAAGAGGACATAGGCAAGCACTCACTCTTCCGAGCCCGCCCCTCCGCATCGTCATTTCCTCCAGTGATCTCCCACCCCGCCTTTGTGTAGACCTCAACCACCAACATGATCGCCAAATCGCCGCCACTGGCAGAAGCACCCTGTTGAGATCCAGCTTTCAGTAGTGCGGCGGCGCCGCCAGCAAGAATCTCTGCCGCCGCATCGTAGTTCGCTTGCTTAATATACCGGGCAGCGATGACCCGCAGTTGCTGGTGAGCTTCATAGTAAGCACCAGAAGCGATCCTTCAGGAAGACAAGATGCGTCAGTTATCGGGTTCTTTTGGCAAAACATGTAGACATCAAGAAACTACTCTGTGGTGGAAGCAAGGCGGGGTTGGCTCACTTCTCTCGTTGTCGAGCTATTGTCTTGTCGATACGTGAGGTCATCTTGAACGGATGATTCACCAGGGGCGACTGTCAAAAGGGTCGGAGGTGCAGTGAAAACGATGGCTTGATATAGCGATACAGCCACACAAAATAGTGTAAGAGGGTAAAAGCGAAGATAAAGCGGCCACAACAAGTTTGACAGGCCTGAACGGGGGATGGTTGACGATGTCAAGCCAACTTGCGGCCGGGAAAGTTGATGCCGGGCGACTTTTGGTGGGGACGCGCTTCGGTTCTTCCAGAATGACGGGAGCAGCTGGACTGAACTACTGCAACGACGATCTAACTTATTTCTTCCACTCCGCATTTGCGAGCTGCAGGGTTCTTACCTAGCTATATTTGAGGTGGTTGGATTTGCTCTTACTACAAACTGTTTTCTTCCCTAGCAACATCAGGACACCTTTGACACTTGAGTTCATGCGGTCTTAATCCCTGGTATCATCTCGTGAAAGGCGCGCGCGCACGGCAGAAAGAGTACATAGAGTAACCCTTTCGGCGCATTTACATCCAGTCACCAACCAGACCCGGGCGATATCTCAAAAAATGGACCGCAAGGCCTTTGATATTCAGCCCATTGGTCGCTTCTACGAAGCTAGCGCTGCCATTCGACGTCCGAAGGTAAGCTTAGTATATCTATTTCCGAATGCCCAAGTCGGCCCTTAACCATTGTCCAGGAGATTGCATGTTTCTCTTACGATGATGAGCATAAGTTCCATCTCGGAGATTCATCGATGAAATACTACTATCCACCATGCCTCCCCGCGGACCTGAATCGCGGCTTCGAGTCATTTCAAAAACTAGATGATTCAGCTGATGAGCATCTAGACGCTCTGCTCGAAACAGTCATGGCTCTGGAACAAGAAACCCAGAAGAAATGTGAGGCTGATATCATCACATGGAGAGGCATGATGACCAAGGTAGAAACCGCCTATCATGTGTACCAATCTTATGGGACCGGGAGATATGCTCATGTTCCATTTGTCTAGATCCTTGCAGCTCCTTTTGATAATTTGAATGGGTGTGTAATCTCAATTGGTCGCTTTCCTGCTTCAGCCATTGATTTGCGTACAGATTTGAAATGAACGCGACCTGCTTCCAGGTATGTTATTGGCCATCGAATCGGGGGCTCATTGCTAATGTACCTCTAGGGCACAATGTTGGTTCATGCTAGCATGCTATATCTACCAGCTTTTGACTCTAATAACCGTCTAGATTCATCGAAGAGAACAACAGCTACAAAAATGAGCAGAAACGAGTTCAGAAGAACCAAAGGATGCCTCCGGGAATGGCGTCTCAGGATCAGATGGCCTACTGGGGTGAGACCTCACTTCACCTTGTTGCAGGAAATGTTATTGACCAAGTCAGGCTATAAATTCGAGACTCTGTCAGTGCTTGATCAGCCATGGGACCCGACTCCTCGCAAAGAGATCGAAACCCGAGAGGAACTCATTGTAAACAACAATGCCCAGTATTGTTCAGTGGTGCGCACTGCCATCGGCCGCGCACGCCTAGTTATTGGTGGGGAGGTAGATGCAAGTATGTCATAAGGCCACCTACCGCTCCATCGCCACCACATACAGCAACGCATATGAATATGTTCTAACGCATCCTTTTCACAGTCTGGGATTGCAAACCAGAGCGAAAAGAAGATCCTATCCATTGGGTAGAACTGAAAACTTCTGCCGAAATAAGGAATGACCGGGACATGGTCAAATACGAAAGAAAGCTTTTGAAATTCTGGGCCCAGTCATTCTTGCTCGGGGTACCCAAAATCATTGTCGGCTTTCGGGACCAACAAGGTATCGTCCATCGTCTTGAGGAGCTCGAGACTGCCGCTATACCTGGAAAAGTCAAGAAGCTTGGCCGTGGGACTTGGGACGGAAACATCTGCATTAATTTTGCTGCCACATTCCTTGAATGTGCGTATACCTTCAATCTCGCCCGCTAGAATTAGAAAGGAAAGCAAACAGGATGTAAAACTAACTGATGCAGGGCTTAAATCTACCATCCAAGAGGAAGGCACATGGAGAATACGCAAACGTGAGAAATCATCTCTTATTGAAGTCTTCAAGGTGGAAGAGAGTGGCACTGGCGATATCATCTCACCGGCATTTTCAGCCTGGAGATCCAAATCTTGAGCCATGCAAACGCTGAATCATTGACGGTTTTCTCATTCTTAATGGTTCTGCGTCTGTGGACTACTCCAGTGAAAGAGAATGTCGATTCTCACCAGTCGCGCAAAAGTGATAGGGCTGCTATCAAAACTGCAGATATGAGTATGCAGCCTCTTGACTTGATGCATGGGAGTTTCGCTTGCGACATCGTCTGGACCGACTCGGTCACTGGACAGACCTGATCAGTACAGTGACTAGTATGTGCCGTGCAATCACTGCATATAATGCTTTATATTTGACATCTATTTGCTGCCCCAAACGCCAAGTCCCATAACCAAACTCGGCCAGATGTTATGGGTTCTTCAAATGATGTCTTGACTGCACCCGCTATCTGCAAACATTTACGGTGTGAAAGGAAAGATACAAATGGGTCTGCTAGCATGCACTGCGCTGAAGTATCTCTCTACATAGTTACCCAAGGGTCTCACAGATACATTTGTATCTAAATGCAAGGCACCTCGGTGCTGTTGGAATTCTCTGAGACGTTTATTGTTTGTCTATCTGTCTTGAGGGGACGGAGGGGACGGAGGGGCTTGTACATCTGGCTCCGCAGGAGATTCAGGGCCCTTTTCCTGGCCCTCGTGTAGCAGCTTTTGTCGCTTTCGTAGATATTCATCACGCGCGGCCCGTTTGGCGGCGCTCTTCAGAGCTCGCCTATGGACCGAGCCGTTGATGTGTATTTGCCATTGATCATCGCCCATCATGGTCTTGCGGCAGATGTCACATGTCCTGCATTTGGTGACGGATCCCGACTCCTTCTGCGGCTGCGACTCCTTGGCGCCCAAGACTGTCCTTGCGAGTTCTGATAGTGACTTCGGGTCGGGAGTGGGTTCGTCTTCCAGCAGAGCGCGGACAAGACGTTCGGACGGCTCGGTAATATTCTGCTCCCATGCGTCGACATTGGTGCTGTCAAGGAGGTAGAGACGATTGGTCGAGCTTGCGTCTGCAAGGGCCTGCCATAACTTGTTTCTGATCCATTTGATTTGAGACATGGCATACTGCCGCGTTGCCGTCTTGATCGACTCAACACCAGATTTCTTGAGGGTTTCTAGCTCGGCCTTATCCACCGAGCCGGCATATAGTGCTTCAAAATAGGGTGCTAGCTCTTTGTATCCGATAGACACCCATACGCCGCGGCTCTGGTCAACGGAGACGCCCTGGGCTTTCTTTTTCTGGAGGTAATCCGACATCTGCCTGGCTTCTGTCATTAGCCCTTGCTCTAGCATCGCATCCACCCGTTTATCCAGTCGCATGTTGAGCGTCTCCTTCTCCGAGTGCACCCAGAATATCATCGTCGGGAATCGCAAGTGGCCGGCACCTGTAAGGGAGTCATCCCGAGTCAGGGCTGCCTGCTTCGTCCGCTGCTGTTCCGCGTAGATCTCCGACGCGGGCCTGCCGGTCTGGAAGTAGATCTCTAGGGAGCGGCGGATTTTGCGTGCTTCATTCGGATGCCATCGATCCGCCATGACCGGATCGACCTCTCTCAGCTTCTGCAGAACCACTTCAGTCGGAGCGTCGAGAATGGGCCATTTAGTCGAAGACTTCGGGTCGTTATCTTCCGTCAATCGAGTTTCTGCTTCCTCTGGCACATCGTCTGCAGTTGCATCCTCGCCAAGTAGCTGATCCTTAAACAGGACGGCTTGTGTATAGTAATGGGTACCGCCGACCAGGACGGGAGTTTTCCCTCTGGCGTGAATATCGTCAATGAGTCGGAGACTTTCGCTTCTGAATCTGCCCACGAACCATGGCTGTTCATCCAGCTCAACACAGCTAATCAGGTGGTGCGGGATACCGTTTCGCTCCTCGACGGGGATCTGGTTGGTGATGATAGGGAGACCGCGATACATTTGCATGGCATCGCCATTGATGATCTCCCCGTTAAATCGCGAGGCTAGGTCAACTGCAAGCTAACTACAACCGTCAGTAAGCAGTGCCTCACAAGAAAGAAAAAACAATCCCAAAATCCTGACGGAGTAAACGCTCTCACCTTTGATTTGCCCGTGCCTGTGGCACCGACGACAGCGATGAGCGGCTTCATAACGGAGCGGCGTTTGAGAGACATAAAGCGTCGGAGAAATAATTGCATGAGAGGAGATTGAAATAGGGCCGAATTAGCATCTTTGCCTCGACAAATTCATCTGGCAAAGAAGTCCGCGAGCTGGTGGGCTCGAAGGGAGGTAATTCTGGCGGTGCGGCTCTGGAAAAATTCCCGGCGCAAATTCCCCCGCCATCGCAACACATTATTACCTCATCGGGTCTTATCGCTCCTCCTCCAATTCCTCTTCTTCTTCTTCTTCCTTTTTCTTCTCTCCCTGATACTTATCACACTTTGCACAGTCTTTATTCCCTTCTGTTTAACACTAGATCTTCGTTTGGACCGTCAATGAATATATACGACGACATAGACCGGAGTGACCCACACTACTAGTTAGATAAGAGCAGTCTGCTATCCTACTATCAACTTGGCTTACCCCTCATCTTTTTTGCCCTCTTTGCATCTCTCGCTATGACAGACAATACCGCCCCTTCCCCCTCAATTGAGGTCAAGAACCTCTCCTTCCAGTTCCCCGATGGTTCTCCCGGCTTGACCGATGTCAATCTCCAAGCCCCCGCCGGCAGTCGAACCCTACTTATCGGAGGTATGTCCAATATCACTGCTGCTGCACATATTAACCAAACTAACTCCTAAACCACTTCAACAGCCAATGGCGCAGGAAAAACCACCCTCCTCCGCCTCCTAGCAGGCAAGCGTCTAGCTCCCACAGACACCATCACCGTCGCAGGCAAAGACCCCTTCAAGGACGGCCTCGAAGGCGTAACCTACCTCGGCATGGAATGGGTTCTTAACAACATCGTCCGCACCGACATCGATGTCCCTACGCTCCTCGCCTCCGTTGGTGGCAATGCATACCCTGACCGTCGGGATGAACTCGTCGACATCCTCGACATCGATCTCAACTGGCGCATGCACGCCGTCTCGGACGGCGAACGTCGTCGCGTCCAGCTAGCTATGGGCCTCCTCCGGCCCTGGCAAGTCCTCCTCCTGGATGAGATCACCGTCGATCTGGACCTCCTCTCTCGCGCTAATTTCCTGGCCTTCCTTAAGCGTGAGACGGAGATCAGACCCTGTACCATCGTCTATGCGACCCATATCTTGGATAATTTGTCGCTGTGGCCTACGCACCTTGTCCATATGCATTTGGGAAGCGTGCGTCAGTGGGGTCCCATTGAGAAGTTCCGCGAGGAGGTTAAGGAGTCTTCCGAGAACAGTCAGCTCGGTGAGCTCGTGCTGAAATGGCTCAAGGAGGACTTGCAATCTAGGGGTCCGAGAAATGGGTCTACTAGTCAGGCTAAGACTTACCCGACGCTGGAAGGTTTGGGCGGGTATGGCTTAGAAAAGCGACCTGCTGCGTGATGGCATGCAAGTGCGCCTTTTCATTTGTTTCATCTGCTTTCTTATATTCTTTCTTTGGCATCGTTCAACATGATTGGTTCAACAGCCACTATCACTGGATATGCATAGCAGGGGTTCGGAGCATCATTCAACTATTTGTGTCTCTAGATGGATTTCTAGACTCGGGAGGGATATATTCAACATTTCAGGAGTCTGGGCTTTCAACATTACGCAAGAATTTCAACCCATGGTAGTATAATTTGTTTTTTCCCTGCTCATTTAGTTTTTGGTCCTGTACATATATGGCCTTTTTGGTTATGAGACCATGTCCGAAAAACTATATATCCGAGTTGAAGTGTCCTCGCTTGCTACCGCCAGTGCAAAATTCCGTATGTCGGCATCAGGAACCGGCCGCCAGGAAAGCTGCGTGATCGCCTTCGAAGGTGATGCAAGCTTGTCGATACTCGACAGATGGCTGGCTTCCAGGCTGTCGACTGCAACCTGGTAGACAGACACCGCCCCGCTTTCCTCGCCCGTGGCCACAAAAAAGGAGTTGTTGTATATCTGCGGCAGGAACGCCAGTGCAGTGACAGGCGTTGTCAATGGGATGGTAGATTTACACTCAAAGGAGCCTTCGGTCATTTGCCACAGCTTCACTGACTTGTCCCGGCCAGCGGTTGCGAAGATGGGCTTGCCCGACGCAGGTGCCCATGCGGCATCGAGGATCATTCGGGAGTGGCCCTTGGGGTTCGAAGTTAGAAGGGAGAATGTAGAGGGGTCCTGATCGCTACGTTGATAAACAGCCCATTGCCGGTCACGCCCGACACTCAGAAGGTACTGGTCGTCATTGGAGAAAGCGAGACTAGTAATGGTCAAGGTGTGCGCGGCCAGGGATGGACGAATCTCGTGCCAGTCCGACGTGTCGTACAGACGCACCACGGCATGATCAATCGAACTCGCCTTGCAAGCGGTGGCGATTAGTGTGCGGTCGTGACTGACAGCCACGGCTGAGATTTCGTATCCGTGACCATACAGCTTCTCATGCTCTGGCCATAACGTGTAGCGGGCCAGCTGATCTTCCAATGGCGGTTGGTTTGATTCCGCCAAAAGCGCCTGGTTAGCCTGAGCTTTTCCAACTTCCTCACCCTCCACTCCGTCTTCACCTGTAGGCGCATCATCGGCCGGGGCCTGGTTCGACAATCCCAGGACGGGGATCTGTGCTGTGTCTGGTAGTGCTCCTTCGGTCGTCTGTTTAAAGCCAGAAAGCTTCTCTAGGAGCTGTGCGATAGGCCCAGGCTCGTTGAACACTCGCAATAGCTTCTCTTCAGCACCGGACACGAACCGAGCCGGGCCCAGAGTGTCCACGCAATTCAAATCGTAGCCATGGATCTGAGGTCGTGAGAATTCATGCCATGACTTCAGTCCATCTCGCAGCCACTGGGCATGCAGACGTGTCGTTTGATCCGCACTTGTCGACAGGAGATATCCTCCAGTAGGCTCCCATTGGACCCCGTTGGCTGATCGCACATGCCCTGAGATACCCAGGGATTGCGCCCACATATCGGTTTCCGCATCATATTTCCACGAGCGCCAGCTTCCAGTGCGGCCCAGACTTACAACCTGCTTGCCGTCTGGGGCCCAAAGACCAATCCAGAACCCACCAGTACTACCAGTAGCTGTAGTGGAACCTTTCTGAACACTGATCTCTCCCATTCTTTCGGCAGAAAGCCACACTCCCGAGACCGGATCTTGTTCCCAAATGGTCAATGTGTTGTCTGCCGAAGCAGTGAGAAGTTGCTGACGCTCTGGGTCAGGGTTCCACGCAGTCGTGTAAATCCAGTCCTCGTTTCCGAACAATAGAGCTTCGAATGTAACAGAGTATTTGGTCCCCGCCGTGGTGAACTGATGCGCCTTGTTCGATAGCGTCGGCTCGAAGCCACCCAGCATAGGATCGTCATCACAGGCCGGCGTGGCCTGAGTGACCTCTCCACGTTGGAATCGCCAGAGTCGAACATACTTGTCTTGACTTGCCGAGGCCAATAGCAGATCGCCCGTCTTGCTCTGCTTATCCGACGTGAAAGACAAGGAGCGCACCCACGCCTCGTGTCCGGACAGCACAGCCGCAAGCTTGAAATCGGGGTCGACAAGAGTGTTCTCCGCTACATACACCTGCACGATGTTTGTGGTCCCTGCCACCGCCAGAGCCACAGGTCTGTCATTCGACTCTGTTCGAAGCGGTGTCAACGCCAAAGCCAACGGAAAGAAGCGTGGCTTCATGGAAATAGATCTCAAGAGCTCGCCCTTTGGCTCCCCCTGCGTGCTGATCTTCCATATTTTCACAGTAGCATCAGCTGCGCCCGATGCGACGATGTCCAATCCTTCAGCTATGGCGATAGTATTGACGGAGCCGGTATGTCCTTCCAAAGTATGCGCGTGGACGAATTGGCGGGGGTTTTCTGAATCGGGGCGCCATAACCGGACCGTATGATCAACAGAGCCAGTCAAGAGAAGTCTCGCTCCGGTGGAAGGGCATGTGTAGAACCGAACGACACTGACCTTGTCGGTGTGGCCGACAAGAAGCGAATAGACCCCGCGCTGGGAGCTCTCCTACATCATCACCCAAAGGCCCCACCATCAGTATCAAAACTAACACCATTTTGGAAGCAAAGAAGCGGATCTTGAGGAGTAACTTACTCGAGGATCCCAGAGAGCTACATTGTTATCTGCGCCAAAGGCAAGCACGCCTGACTGGACGTCCCAATCAGCGGCGGCGGGATGCCTATTGCCCCCGACGCTGATGTACTCGGTCGTGATGGATACCATGAAGCTCTTCCGAGTCGAATGTTCGAGCAATTAGTTTAGGTTATCTTTGAAAAAGATCAGGCAGGCCAACAGAGCCACAGACAGGGAAAGAAGTAAGAGTGAGGGGTGGGCTTGTTCGTCACCAACCAACCATGTTCGAATGGATCGCACAGCCAGCCGACTTTTTGTGCCGGCAAACTGGGCGGCTTATCGATAAGCTGCGAGAAATCCGGACCCCCGTCTTTTGCCAACCCCTCCATCTCCATCCTCGCCGCAATAACTAACGCCTTGTAAACGAGCCCTGACGATTCACGCAACCCCCAATTCATTACCTTGTCCTACTAGGGCATTGCTTATACATCTCTCTTATAATAAATAACATGGCCACGAACTCTGGAGCCCCTGAGCTGAGAAAAGATGGCGCCGGTTCCATTGCTATTACCGTTGAGTTCACGTTCGGCTCTCACCCTTATCATGCAAACACCCCAGGCTTCTACTCCTGACTGACTTGGCTTGGTTTGCACAAACAGAGGAGGTCTAGAGATTCTGTTTGCCAACGAGCGCAAACACCACGTCACCCTACCTTCGCACCTTGACGACGGCAGCCGGCCAACTATCAGCTACCTCCTGGGTCATCTAGTGAAGAACTACATGAAGGATCAGAGGCAGGAATTGTTCATCTTGGAAGGCAACGTGTAGGTTCCATCTCATCGCATGGGAATACAGTGTAATGTAAAACGACTGACCTTGTGCGACAGACGACCGGGAATCTTGGTCCTCATTAACGACGCCGATTGGGAGCTCGAAGGCGAGGAAAACTACGAACTTCAGCAAAAGGATAACATTGTCTTCGTTTCGACGCTTCATGGGGGCTAGCGCTAATGACTATCTACGTTCACAATCGTACCGACGATACTCCTACGGGCAAGCGGTCGCGGGGTCCTATATACAAGATGGAATGCGAATCTAGACAACATCTTCCACATGCTGCTGTGAGATCCTCTCGGGCTCCCTAGGAGTTCGAAGGCCGCTCTGCGGCGTTGCAAGGCCTTCCTTTGGGCTTCCAAGTCCCCCAGCCAGCGGGGTCATCATCCCACTCGGCGGGACGGGAATTTTGATGTCTTCGGGTGAGCCAGGGATGATCTCTTTGGGTAGACCAGGGATGTGGATTCGGCGCGCCTCGTTCTGATAGCTTTCGGGTATTATCTGAAGAAGTCAGTCAGCTGAGGTGTTCAACGCCATTAGACCTGTAACAATCGCCTCACTTCAATTATCTCGTCCCGTGGGAACTCCAGGAATGGAATGTCGGCTGCATTGCATGCCATCAGGTATCCATAAAGCACTCTTAATACGCTCTCGTGCGCAATAATCAAGAGATCATTCTGCTCGCGCTCAAGCTCCAGGATAATCGGCTCCAGCCGTACCGCAAGGTCATGATAAGACTACCAATCTAGTCAGTTTCGGAACCCTCTATGACTAAATGAAAACAAGAACACGGCCTACCTCTGCTCGAGGGTAACGATGATGATAGGGGTCAAGATCATGCTTCGCCACCTCGTCCGGATACTCCTGGCGGATTTTCCGTTCCGACATCATCTCGCATACCCCAGGGTTCAACTGGCTCATTTGTGATCGCTGCCGTACTTTGTATCCTTTCTCATGGAGATACTTGGCGGTTTCGACTGTCCTCCGTCGCGTAGACGTCCAGACTGTCAGCGGCTTTAGTTCGTAGTCTTTCTCCCCTTGGTCGGCCATAGCTTGTCTTTCAGCCTCCCTGTGCTGCAGCAAGCACTCTGTCATCTTTTTGGCGTACTCCTCTCCTTGCTCGGATAGTGAGGCATCCGCTTTGTATGAGCCTGCTTCCAGTGAAACGCCGGCCTAGTCACACACTTTCGTCAGTAATTTGAAGATCTCCCGTCAATATGCGTCGCAACAGGTGGACTGACTCTGGCAAAATACGTGTGTCTTGATTTGATATGGAGGTTCAAGAGGTAGAACACAATCCGATTAGAGAGATAGCCAAAGCTTTTGTTGTTAACAATCAAACGTTCACCTGCGTTGATCATCTGGTGAGAAATTAGCAAAAGGGGAAGCCGCATCATGCAGGATATAGCAGATACCTTGATGTAATTGAGGTCCGTCTCCTCCATAGTCTGGAATTGGGGGATACGAGCAGCTATCCTGGTCAAATAATGCCTGACCGCATCTTCTGAAGACCACCCTACGTACTGCCAAGGGTGAGTATGTGCGAAAGAATCGGGGTTCCATGTAGCTACACGTACGTCGGGTGAGGATATCTTGACCCGTCGGACATTCTCCTCAATTATGCGTTCATCGTCACACCACGATTCAATGAACAAAGTCTGGATTTCCATGGAGGGCAGAATTAGCAAATTTGTGATACTAAGGGTATAATGATTTCGAGTACCTCTATATCATGCTTAGAGAATTCCTTGGCGAGGGACCGTCGTCCCGAAGCGATGGGATTGACTGCATCGTATATCGCTATCTGCCCATTCTCATGATTCAAGAAGTGGTATATATCTTCGCGACATCGCTTAACGATCTTCTGCCTTAGGAGCACAGACGAAGCCGAAGCTATTTGTTCAGTCAGCAAGGAAGGTTGTTAAAATAGAAGTGGTCAGCCACTCAGGCCGGCCACGGTACGTTTGCGTGGATATAGAGGCCATCGCGTACCGTTGACGAAGAAGTAGTCATCAGGGATATCTTGGCCGTAGGGTATGGTAGCACGTCGATAATCGCCGAGGTGGAATATTCTTGTCTTGACACCTAACCTGCGATGATGTCAACTCGGCTCTGCTAGCGATAGAACCATGAGCCGGATGGTGTACTTACCAGCGAAGGTAACGTGCCAGAGCGACCGACATATGCCTGACCAAAGGTTAATGAATGGAGTGGACCAATGACGAATGGGTTTGGTCAAACGAACGTCTTGCCTCTTGCCGGTAATCCTACCGTGATGATGACAATGCGGCCGGAGTGGAAGAGTCGGCCGGATTCGGTGCTGTAGAGCTGCGCGGGAGCCAAATCGGCCTTTTCAGGCAGGTCGTGAATTGCATCGACGAAAGTCGACGACTTGCGCCGAAATCGCGGGGAGTTGGCAACGATATCCGCGGTTCTAGCAGTACGTTAGAGCAAGTGGTATCGATAATCGGGAAAGGTTCAGCGGTATCGCAAGTACTCCGGACCCAGCACGACGATTCGGAGAAGAAGCGAAACATATTGAGGAAGGAAGGACTGAGTCGAGCTTACAGTAACGTATCCATGGCGGTAATGATAATAATGGCGAGATGGGATGGAGATGGGATAGTTCGGGGAGAAGGAAGAATAGTAGAGTCAAGCTTGGGCTGGGCTAACGAGGGGTATCGGTAGAGAGCAATAGAGACGAAGGAAGGCGCTCAGCACATCCCCGCACAAAAGCAAGTCCCAGTAGTGACGGAAGATTAGGTAGTAGAAGTAATAAGTACTGCTTTTTGCAAGGAGACACTCTCTGGGGAAAAACAAGCAAGACAGCCCAATCGGGCGGCAGCAAAGACAAATCAAGTTGTTGTAACTGTCAGTAAGTCAGTGATTACCTGACCACCAAGTAGTAAGTAGTAATTAGTAGCAGTGTACTAGAGCTGTACACCGTCGGTGGTATAAACTATAGACCGATCCACACCCGATTGGTTGTTCGTCTCCGAGAAAAGAAAATTGAGAGAGAGACAGAGATAGGAAGGGCTTGTGACAAAGTCGAGACAATTTGAGCACAACAAGTTTCCGAGAAGTATGATATAGGATGCGTGAGACCTCTTCTTTTTTTGCTGCTTCTTCTTCTTCTTCTTTTCTTCACGAATTGAGGGAGATGAACTAGTTAACTAGATAGCTTCGAGGATTATATCATCGCCGGCCAAACTAAAGATCCCAATCCCGGCGCAGCCCGAAGCGGGCTAAACTACATTGAGGGAGTCAGTGACTACGGCGCAGCACAGCGACGGCCCAGCGCAGCCGGGGCGGAAAGGCGCCAGTCACTTTTTTCAAGCCGAAAGCTCTGGCAGTCGAAAGAACGCCTGGAAACTGAACTTCCCCATCACCATCTCATCCATCTCCCTCCCCCAATCCATCTGCCCTGGTGTTCAACCTCCCTCCTCTCAACTCCCCAGAGTAGGTCGGACACAACCTTCACTCCTCAATTAGCAAGAGCGTCGTGTTATCCCTCACGTTGCTCTTCGCCTTTTCAGGTTCAATTTCCGGGCTGGTCTCAACGAGGTCTCTTCTCTTTTCCTCTTTCCTCCTCCCAACAAGGACGAACCGCGTATAACGATCATCCTCCGTTTCTCTCCTGTCCTGTATAACGACCCTTAATATTTCCTCAGACTTCATAATGTCCGACTCTCTAGCTTTGCCTTCCTTCCTCACGGACAATTCCGTGGCCGCGGCCTTCAAGGATGCATACACCTCGTTCTCCGAGCGCAGGGCCGCCCTCGGCCTTCCCAACCCTGGCACCCTGGATAACATCTCCCGGGAGGTGCAGAAGGATGTCCTGCTGTCCAACTTCATGTTCACCGGTCTCCGGGCGGACCTGACCAAGGTTTTCGGCATGTCTCCTCTGTTCCGTGTGTCGCATGCTTTCTCCATGGGCGGATCCGGCAACATGCCCCCATACAACTTCTCCGCCATGTACGGAAGTCCTAAGGTAAGGTGCAATGGTTATATGTTACCTGTGAATATTTATTATGTGTAGGCGGCTAACGATTTCTCTCGTTGGGACTTTAGGTCTTCATGCAAGGCAACCTCGGAAGCGATGGAGGTCTCGCTGCTGTCGGCAACTACCGTTGGACCCCCAAGTTTGTCACCAAGACCAACACTCAGATCATGCCCGGTGGCCAGGGCTTGATGCAGCTTGATAATGACTACACCGGCGACGATTTCTCCGCGTCTCTCAAGGCTTTCAACCCTTCTTACTTGGAGGGCGGTCTTACCGGTATCTTCGTCGGAAGCTATCTCCAGTCTGTTACTCCCAACCTGGCTCTTGGTTTCGAGGCTATCTGGCAGCGCCAGGCCATGAACGCTCGTCCTGAATCTGCTCTCTCCTACGGTGCCCGCTACAAGACCGCCGACTGGATTGCTAGTGCTCAGCTGCAGGCTCAGGGTGTCATCACCGCCTCCTACTGGAAGAAGCTCTCCGAGCGTGTTGAGGCTGGTGTTGACATGAACCTCCAGTTCGCTCCTAACGCTGCTGCTGCTCTCATGGGTGGTCCCAGCCGTGACGGCACCACGGCCATTGGCGCCAAGTACGACTTCCGTGCTTCCACTTTCCGTGCTCAGGTCGACAGCACCGGAAAGGTCAGCTGCCTCTTGGAGAAGCGGATAGCTATGCCCATCGCTCTTACCTTTGCCGGTGAGATCGATCAGGCCAAGGTGAGCATCACTTCCTGCAGTGTCCCTTCATTCCAGGTGGATAACTAGTCACTAACATGTTGTTCTCTTTGTAGCAAACGGCCAAGCTCGGTCTTGCTGTTTCCCTTGAGATCGCGGGCGAGGAACTGATGGAGCAGCAAGAGAAGATGAGCCCTGAGGACATGGTCCCTCCTCCCTTCTAAGCACGCTCTGACGTGCAGCTAGGGCTAATGGGGCCCACCTGAAAGTGGGAGGACAGAAGCTATTGCTCTGCATCCGCCCTCGGCTTATACCTTTTTCACTATTTGTTTTAGTAGCTCTTCTCTCTCCATGTGCATGTTTGGACGATGGTGTATCACATCGGTTATCCCCACGAATGCGGTTTGCTGGTTCAGGGAGGCAGTCGTTTGGCGCCACGGAACCAAGTTTTGTATAGATCCATCTTCGGTCCAGTCGAGATATCATTTCGATTTTGTCTATGCCTTCATCTATGATTGTACCCCTGTCTCTTTTTTTTCCCCCGTTGTTCTACTTTTCTTATCTTTTTTATCTCGACGGCAACCTTTGGCCGATGGACATGACTGCTAGGCATGCATGGAAGCATCATCTGCGGAAAGCTGTTGCGGTGTTTGTTTTTTCTCCTTAACGCATCATAGATGGGGCAATGTAAAACACGTTCTGCTTCTTATGACATGGAAAATCGAAGTGAGAGCGACGGACCTTGTGATGGGAAGAACTCCTTGCGTCGCTGAGGGACCCGGGTCATTCATCAGGGTCACCTGCGTTAGCCAAAGACCTTTTTGCAACGAATGGAGTAAGAGCAAGATTCTATCAATTTCACGAGGCATGGCCGGCTCTGCATCGGGAGCACCTTCCCTCATCTCGTATGTCATTACCGAACGAGGGTTCTCGAGATGTCTGCTGGCAATACTCGTATCCCGCGCCAATATATCTCCCCCAACAAAAGTAGCGGCCACTATTGCGCTATGAACATGTAGCGAAAATATTTCCACGAGCATGACCTTTGCACGCTCTGATCATCCCTAACCACTTGACACCTCGTGACTGCTACACGAAGGTTTTTGCCAATAGTTGTGGCTCGATGATGTGAATGCCAGATCAGACGATCAAAATAGTTCCCCGGCGAAAGAGAAACAAAGAAGTGACTTAGCAGCAAGACGGGAAAAGTGGGAAAGGAAGAGCAGCGGAGGACTAAAGAGTCCAGAACCACGATCACGATGATGATCTAGATAGTTGGTTGTCAATCAGAGCCACAAATAAAGAAGGAATGATGATGAATAATCATTAACTATCAAATAAATATACCTCTTGCGGGTGAGCAACGACCAGTCATGTAACAAAACTACCATATGTAGATAATGCTATGCAGATACAAGGATAAAGGATCCATTCACTTCTCCAGCCTATTACCAAAAACAGTATACTCAACTCAACTCGGTCTCTCTCCCTCTCTCTCTGGCCCGCTACAGCAAAGACGCCGTCTTGGACGCTAAAAAGATAGCGTGGTCGTCTGTTTGACCCAAACACACCATTCCTTATTTTACCCTTTTTTTCCTACGGAGCAGCAGGGGCCAAACTGGGATGATAGTGTCACGATTAAGTGGGAATCTGGTGGGTTCTCTATAATTATGGTCTGGCTGTAATTAGGCAAATATTCTGGACTAGTGGGTTAGTTGGGAATTGGAGGCACGCAGGTTAGTATTCTCCACCTTTACTCCGTACTTAGTGTGAGGGGACTCCATTTTCTCTTACTCCATCGTTAGAAGCTGTGTTGGGCAGGTGACTTCGAGGGATACTCAATACTGTTAGATACGTAGTAGGGCAACCTTGATTTTGGGGAGATGATACAGCAAGTTTGGTTACTGTTGTGCCTGGTGATGGCATTGTGCCCCGAGTAGACTGTATTCTCAATGAATGTCTAGACTCGAGAGGGACTTAGTGAGTAGTAAGTCCTACTAGGTATGGAGCCTTCGTTCGCTGTCCATCAAGAGTTGAATATTACACGACCTTATGCAAGCATCTCCTTACTCTATAGAATAATAGAAAACGAGTATACTTAGTACACTGTAGTACCTACAGGGTCAACTGCCTCGCAGATTCTTTTTTTTTTTTTCCCGCGAGTCTAGGGCCCATTAAAGGTGGTACTACATGGAATATATCAAGATAATCTAGACGATGTACATTCGTCACGGAGAGTCGGAAAGGAAGTAGAGCCGTCGTGCCCGGTCATTAGCCCATGTAATTTCAATCCCGCCCGATGGCACACTGTTCTTGCACTACTGCGCTTTCCCCCCCGGTTTCTCCTCACTCTGGAGACTCCAGTGCTGCCTACTCCCCCAATGTAGCAGCTATTTTTTAGCCTCCATTCTATCTACTTTTACCTACAGTGTCATATCCTTCAACTTTTTCCCTAGCTTGAGATTCGGAAAGGATTAAATGACGGAATCAGACCCGGTTACATGGTCCTATTACCCACCAAGATCCGATTCGCTCATCAGGCTTCACAAAACCCCCCCAACTGGTTGGGCCTCGTGCTGGTGGCAATCCTTGGGTCTAAATGCGAGGAGAAACCCATGGTTGAAGGTTCACGATGACCCTTTGCTGGCGGAAAGAAGGCCAACAGTTGCCCCACGGTGACATCATTCCCTATCTCTTCGGTTGGACATGAAATTATTTCACTCGCTCGCACTCTCTTTCCCCCCCGTTCCTCCCCTTCGCTCTTTGTCCTTAGTGCTGGACCTACTTGTGTGGTGGGTTTCTTGGGGGTTCTTCATTGTTGATTTCAATAACAGTGGTGGTTATTGGGTCATGTTCCCTTGTTTCCACTTTTCTTGCTCCTGTGATTGTCCTTCAATGGTCGCCCAAGTAACTCTCACTCAAAGAGAGAGGGAGAGAGGCACCTAACTTAAATCCCCCAGTCTTATTGGACGCTTGATCTGGCTGACACAAAGGCATCTCGGGACACAAGGAACAGGTTTCCGCGGCTCTACCGTGAAGGGCAATAGCCAAGATGACACAACATACGGAGCAATCTTGACTCTTGAGAGACATACAATGTGGTGTTGCTATAGGGCCAGGTTTCATGGACAAGATGGCCAAGGCAGGGTTTGACTTCTGTGATAGGATCAGGTACATCCGTTCTTTGGTACACAGTAGAGCTGGGTTCATGCCCTGGACGATACTAAGTAAACGAAGTGCCGAGCTACCGCTATTGGCTCAGCCTTGGAGATGGCCGAAAACGCACCTCGGATACTTTTGGGGGGAGGGGGGGGGCTGGGCTGGTTATGATGTTGATCTCGGTTAAGGCAGGCACATTTCTTTGATCCTCCTGCCGAACATCTACAGGGTTGTCTTATCCGAGAAACAAGCCTTGATGGTATTGAGAAATGTACTAGTCGTAGTGCTGGACACCAAATGTTCACATATATCAACGCTGTGAGTGATATAGTCCTGCCAATGTTTACCTTAGTAGTAGGGTTTCAACGTTGCGGACATACAGGCTCTCAGCCTACATAGTACGACCGAGGAAGTAAAGCATAAATTGCAGCAGGCCTTTCCGGAACAACAATGATGAAAACGAAGCCATCGATGTCATCCACTTTACTGGTCTACCGTTCTACCCCTGCTTGTTGGCCTGCAGCAGTCCTCATCAATATCAGATAGTAAACCATCATTGAGACTGAACTACTAATCAAGAATTCGGTATCACTTGTGTCCCAGCAGGGCCCCTAGTCTGTTTCACGAAAATCACATCATGAACTATGGAGGGACATCTGAAGCAGTGGTAGAATTGACCATTTGGTGGCCAATGGTTGTTACATGAGTTGCCTCACCGAGACAGCAAAGCTGCAGTCACCTGAGAGCAACTCGGGGGTAAAAACAAAAAAGGAAAGGAAAGAAAAAAAAGTCACAAACAACTTGGGCCAGTTGAGTGTGATCCGCTGACGCTGTGTGGCCCGCCGGTGATCCGCAGTAACCAAGCAGCATGCCTTTTAGCTGCCTGCCGACCGGGCCAAACTCTGAAAACGAGAGCCAAGGATCAGTGAATGAGGTAACCCACCTCATGATTGCAATGGCCCTAAAGAAGAGCCCTACATATTAATGATGTTTCATGATTCGTAGGAACTGTTAGCCATGGTCTTATTGCCTGTCTCTCCTTGTTGATAGGTATGGTATGTCGGATGGTATGCACAGTGGCAGGGTGAGGCTGTATCTAGTAGAGCCTAATCCAAAGCATATGAACCAAATTGCCTGCACCTGAATTCACAAAGTCATGGTTTGGTAGATCTTTTTGTCGTATCATTTCTTAACAATCACCTGACCCCTCGACTGTAAATAACTTAATTAGCTAGTCACGGTGGGTTCAACTAGGCCTCTTTATAGACAATTATCGATATCTTGTCGAGGCATACATAGCACTCCCAGACTCTCAGCCTGCCAGTTTCTGTGGTGCACCAAGCGCACAAATACGCACAGGAGGATTTCTTATGTGCATCAATCAGCCTGGTCCTTTTGGAGGTACTACCATTGAGTCGATGTGGGGCATTTCTTATATGATACTTGTTAGTGTGAATGCCAGGTATTGTATCTGTATTTCGAAATTTGAGGTACGTCAAGCATCAGCAGAGAGATAATCACATGTGGTATGTATGTTATTGGGTACCTACTCCCAAGTACGTGCATGCTCAGCTTATATTCACACACACACACACACACCTCCCATCAAAGTTCAATGAGATGTATAGACTGTCTGCAGTGTCACCGGAGCTATAGCCCGCATATAAACTACTTATGTATGTTTGATGCTAGATACGTAGAGAAAAAGAAAAAAAAATGAAGAAGTATGAACCCAACGGATGTGCGTGGTCTCGAATTCGGTTTGCAGGACAGCTACCGATAGCTCGACTAGTCTATTATCCTTCCTCTACATCCATTCTTCTCTTACAGCTCATGAACGCAAGAGCCTAATGTCATTATGATTGACATTTTCTACCCTTTGTCAATATGCAACATACACTCTGACCTCGTCTTTAATTCGACGACACGCCTGGATGAGTTCCGAGTGGCTTACTCCGACGCCTCCGAACATTAGATTTTTCAAGCCCTTCCCTGTCTCAGCTTGGTATGTGGCTGCAATTAGTCCCTCATGTAAATTCAGTTGATGTAGATAAGGTGGCAAATG